CCCCCTCTCTCCTCCACCCTCCTCCTCTCTCCCTCGCCTCCTCCTCCTCTCTCCCTCGCCCTCCTCCTCTCTCCCCCACCCTCCTCCTCTCTCCCCCTCTCTCCTCCACCCTCCCCCACCCTCCCCCACACTCCTCCCCTCTCCCCCACCCTCCTCCCTCTCCCCCGCCCTCCTCCCCTCTCCCCGCCCTCCTCCCCTCTCCCCCGCCCTCCTCCTCTCTCCCCTCTCTCCCCCACCCTCCCCCTCTCTCCCCCGCCCTCCTCCTCCCTCCCTCGCCCTCCTCCCCTCTCCCTCGCCCTCCTCCTCCCTCCCTCACCCTCCTCCTCCCTCCCCCACCCTCCTCCCTCTCCCCCTCTCTCCCCCACCCTCCTCCCCTCTCCCCCACCCTCCTCCCCTCTCCCCCACCCTCCTCCTCTCTCCCTCACCCTCCTCCTCTCTCCCCCACCCTCCCCCACCCTCCTCCTCTCTCCCCCGCCCTCCTCCTCTCTCCCCCGCCCTCCTCCTCTCTCCCACGCCCTCCTCTTCTCTCCCCCACCCTCCTCCTCTCTTCCTCGCCCTCCTCCTCTCTCCCTCGCCCTCCTCCTCTCCCCCACCCTCCTCCTCTCACCTCCACCTTCCCCACCCTCCCCCACTATCCTCTACTCTCCCTCGCCCTCCTCCTCCCTCCCTCGCCCTCCTCCTCCTCCCCCTCTCTCCCCCACCCTCCTCCTCTCTCCCCACCCTCCTCCTCTCTCCCCCACCCTCCTCCCTCTCCCCCACCCTCCTCCCCTCTCCCCCACCTCCTCCTCTCTCCCCCACCCTCCTCCTCTCTCCTCCACCTTTCCCCACCCTCCCCCTGCCCCTCTCTCCACTGCCCCTCTCTCCACTGCCCTCTCTCCCCCTCCCCCCTCCCCCTCCCCCTCTCTCCCCCTCCCCTCTCTCCCCATCCCCCTCCCCCTCTCTCCCCCTCCCCCTCTTCCCCCTCCCCCTCTCTCCCCCTCCCCCTCTCCTCCCCCCCCCTCCCCTCTCCCTCCCCCTCCCTCTCTCCCCTCCCCTCTCTCCCCCTCCCCCCTCCCCCTCTCTCCCCCTCCCCCCTCCCCCTCTCTCCCCCTCTCCCCCCTCCCCCCTCCCTCCCCCTCTCCCCCTCCCCCCTCTCTCCCCCTCCCCCCTCCCCCCTCCCCCCCCCCTCCCCCCTCCCCCCCCCCCCCTCCTCCCTCTCCCCCTCCCCTCTCTCCCCCTCCCCCCTCTCCCTCCCCCTCCCCCTCTCTACCCCCTCCCCCCCTCTCCCCCTCCCCTCCCCCCCTCTCCCCCCTCCCCCCCTCCCCCTCTCCCCCTCCCCTCCTCCCCCCTCCCCCCCTCCCCCTCTCCCCCTCCCCCTCTCTCCCCCTCCCCCCTCTCCCCCTCTCCCCTCTCCCCCTCTCCCCCCCTCCCCTCTCCCCTCTCTCCCCCTCCCCCTCTCCCCCTCCTCCCCTCCCCCCCTCCCCCTCCCCCTCCCCCTCTCCCCCTCTCCCCCCCCCCTCCCCCTCTCCCCCTCCCCCCCTCCCCTCCCCCTCCCCCTCCCCTCTCCCCCCTCCCCTCTCCCCCCTCCCCTCTCCCCCCCCTCCCCCTCCCCCCCTCCCCTCTCTCCCCCTCCCCCTCCTCCCCCTCCCCCTCCCCCTCCTCCCCCCTCCCCCCTCTCCCCCTCCCCCTCCCCCCTCCCCCTCCCCCCTCCCCCCCTCCCCCCTCCCCTCCCCCTCCCCTCCCCTCTCCCCCTCCCCTCTCTCCCCCCCCCCCTCTCCCCCTCCCCCTCCCCCCTCTCCCCCTCCCCCTCTCTCCCCCCCCCTCCCCCTCTCTCCCCCTCCCCTCCCCTCTCTCCCCCTCCCCCCTCCCCCCCCTCCCCCCCTCTCCCCCCTCCCCTCCCCCCTCCCCCTCCCTCCCCCTCCCCCTCCCCCCCTCCCCCTCCCCTCTCCCCCCCCTCCCCCCTCCCCCCCCTCTCCCCCCTCCCCTCCCCCTCTCCCCCCCTCTCCCCCTCCCCCTCTCTCCCCCCCTCCCCTCCCCCTCCCTCCTCCCCCCTCCCCCTCCCCCTCTCCCCCCCTCTCCCCCCCCTCTCTCCCCCTCCCCCTCCCCCTCCCCCCTCCCCCCTCCCCCCTCTCTCCCCCTCCCCCCTCTCTCCCCCTCCCCCTCCCCCCTCTCTCCCCCTCCCCTCCCCCTCTCCCCCTCCCTCCCCCTCTCCTCTCTCCCCCTCCCCCCTCTCCCCCCCCTCTCCCCCCTCTCTCCCCCTCCCCCCTCTCCCCCCTCCCCCTCTCCCCCTCCCCCTCTCTCCCCCTCCCCCCCTCCCCCCTCCCCTCCCCCTCCCCTCTCTCCCTCCCCCCTCCCCCTCTCCCCTCCCCCTCCCCTCTCTCCCCCTCCCCTCTCCCCCTCCCCCCTCCCCTCTCCCCCTCCCCTCCCCCTCTCCCCCCTCCCCCTCTCCCCCCTCCCCCCCCTCCTCCCCCTCCCCCTCTCTCCCCCTCCCCCTCCCCCCTCCCCCTCCCCCCTCCCCCTCCCCCCTCCCCCCTCTCCCCTCCCCCTCCTCCCCCTCCCCCCCCCCTCCCCCCCCCCCCTCTCCCCCTCCCCCTCCCCCTCCCCCCTCCCCCTCCCCTCCCCTCTCTCCCCCCCCCTCTCCCCCCTCCCCCCCCCTCCCCCCTCTCCCCCTCCCCCTCTCTCCCCCTCCCCTCCCCCTCTCCCCCTCCCCCTCCCCCCTCCCCCCCCTCTCCCCCCCTCCCCCCTCCCCCCTCCCCCTCCCCCCCCTCCCCCCCCCTCTCCCCCCTCCCCTCTCCCCCTCCCCCCCTCTCCCCCCCTCTCCCCCTCCCCCTCCCCCCTCCCCCTCTCTCCCCCTCCCCCTCCCCCTCTCTCCCCCTCCCCTCTCCCTCTCCCCCCTTCCCCCTCCCCCTCTCCCCCTCCCCCCTCCCCCTCTCTCCCCCTCCCCCTCCCCCTCCCCCTCCCCCTCTTTCCCCTCCCCTCTCTCCCCTCCCCCCTCCCCCTCTCCCCCTCCCCCTCCCCCTAAATTGAAGCTCTCCCAACAATGCTCTGTGGCAGTGTATAAAGCAAACCAGATGTTGGAATGTATCAAAAGATCAATAGCAGCCAAAATAGTGGGGAAATAGTGGCACTGTATAAATCATTGGTGAGACTGTACTTAGAGACTGTGTACAGTTCTGGTCATCGCAGCACAAAAAGGATATTGGAGAAATCGAGAAGATTTGAGGGAATGGAAGGACTGGACTGTGAGGAGCGACTGAGTAAATTGGGCAACAACAACAACATTACATTTGTAAAATGCCTTTCATGTTCATGAATAGTGACCCTGTGGAAAAGGCTCCCTGGGGAGACGTCTTAAAACGCTTCACAGATACACTGTAAAGTGCAGTGACTGTATATTTTGTGGGTGAAACACAGCAGCCAATTGTACACAAACAGCCTTAGAGTGAGTGATGAATTTTATTTGGGGGAATGTCGGCCAGGACCCCGAGGGAGACAACAACAAATCAGTTACACAGTGCCTTTCACATTGGGAAAGGACGTCCCAAAGTGCTGGACGGTTAGGGATTTGGACCCCAGCTGGGAGTGGGAATCAGGAGAGGGTGGAGGGCAGGGCAGGGAGGGTGAGGGTAGGAGGATGACTGAGGGCGCGGTCGAGGAGGACGGTTTTCAGAGCGGCCTCGAAAGAGGCAACGGACGGATCGAGGTGAAGGGATTGTGGGATGGAGTTTCAAAGGATGGGGGCAGAGAGGCTGAAGGCCTGACGGCCAAGGTTGGTGGAGGCCAGGCGGGGTACGTGGAAGAGTCTATAGCCCGTTGAGCAGAGGGAGCAGACAGGCTGATACGGGGTCAGCAGGTTGTCGAGGTAGGGAGGGGGCGAGACTATGGGGTGAGAACCAGGATCTTGAACTGTACCCTCTGTGTGATGGGAAGCCAGTGGAGTCGGGCGAGGATGGGGGTGATAGGGTCACGGAGCCGGTGCGGGAGAGGACACGGGCTGCAGAGTTCTGGATGATCTGCCGCCTGTGGAGGGAGGAGTTGGGGGCCGACAAGCAGTGAGTTTGCACAGTCGAGCCTCGATGTAATGAAGGTGTGTGTGGGGGTCTCGGGGGCTGTGGTGTGAGACAGTGGTGGAACCGGGTGCTGTTGCGGAGATGGGGGAAGGCAGAGCGGGTCATGGCACAGATGTGGGGTAGAAAGGATAGTTGAGGGTCAAACAAGACCCCAAGGTTCGGGACTGGCTCAGTGAGGGGGAGTGAGCCCCAGGGATGGTGATGCTGTCAGCGCCTGAGGTGAGAGAGAAACTCCCTTCCCTTTTGCAATAGCCCCGCGGGATCTTTAACATCCACCTGAACAGGCAGACGGGACCTCGGGTTACCGTCTCATCTGAAGGATGGATAGGATGCTAAACATATAGATGGATAGAGATCTAATGTAGATATTATTATCCATAATCATTATGGTGAGACATAGAATCTATGGAGTCCTGTAGCTCAGTGGTTAGACACTCACCTCACAAGAGAGAGTACGGGGTTTGATTCTCGGGCAGAGCAAAACTTAGACAAGTTCCTTACTCCCCACACAGTGTTTACCAGCAGTCAGTAGGAACCCGGTTGTTAGTCGATTGGTGGATCACTTTCTGGGGGTAATAATCCTTTTTAAAAAAATGTGGTCACTCAATCCCTGACTGTTAGTGAGACACTGCTGTGCACAATTGGCTGCTTTTGCTCACAGGATACAGACTCAATCCACTAACTACATCCTGTGAAGCGCTTTGAGACATGATAAGGCGCTGTATCAAATGTAATGATTATTTTTTTAAAAAGAGAGAAAAGAACTGATTGTGTCCGGTGTATTGAGAGTGTGTGTGTTCTCCGATCCCGAGATCATTCGGCTCCAAGTTTAAAAAAAAGTATTGAAGAGAATAATTTTTCAGTTGCTGTGTTGGCCTGTAACCCGCCTCCGGGAAACATGGGAGGAGGAGGATTCAATGAGAGAGCGAGAGAGAGATGGATGGGTGGGGGGGTGGGGCGGGGGGAGACGAGTATATAAACAGATGTGAAACAACAGAGCAGAGGCCAGAGGCAGCCGAGCAGAGCAAAGAGCGGATCCTGAACTGCAGAGGCTTTGGGAATCAGCCACAATGAGGGAAATAGTCCACATCCAGGCCGGGCAATGTGGGAACCAGATCGGAAGCAAGGTGATTTGCTATTAGTTTACGTTTGCGACGAGCAGGATTCTAGTGGGTTTATTAGTCCAGACTGGGCTGGGCTGACCTTACAATAATAATCCTTGCATTTGATTCAGTGCCTTATCACGTCGTTATGAGACATCTCAAAGCTCTTCACAGAATATATTGTAAAGTTTGTTGCCTGTGTATTTTATGGGGCAAATCTTGAACCCTCAATGTTGGGGGGTGGGGGGTGAGGGTCGAGAGGGAAGGACAGGGTTTTAAAGTGCGTTCAAACTTTAACTCTCGCTCTGATCTCCTTGGGAGAAGGGAAATCCGTGTTTTTGCCTTCGCTCGTGCTGATGGTTGAGGCTTGATTTCTTCATGTTTATTTTATGCGCAATCGAAACAGCGATATAGTCACAGAAAAATAAAATGATCTGAATGAAAGGCGAGAGCCGAGTTACTGACAATAATCATCACAGCATTTGATACAGCGCTTTATCACATCTTTGACACGCCTCAAAGCACGTCACAGGATATACAGTAAAGTGAATTGTCTCTATATTTTGTGGGCAAAAGGCAGCAGCCAATTATTTGATCCCAACATGTCCCACAAACAGTCATGGATTGAAATAACAATTTTTTTTATAGAGATTATTACTCCCAGAAAGTTTTCCACCAAACGACTAACAACCGGGTCCTACTAACTGGGCTGTAACCACTGAGCTTCAGGCCTGCACACTTTCTACCGTTGCAGTTTTATAGATGTCGCTCACGCTGTTCGGTGGAGGATAATAAAAGTTGGGTGTGAATATTTTTGGGGTGTCTGAGAGCAGGGAGTGGCTAAATGTATCCCAGCAATTCAGAGCATTGCACAGCTGTCCAAAGCCCTTTGGGTTTTTATATATTGTATTTTAAATGTTATATTTAATTTCAACGCAACTCACCTTCCTGTCAGCTTTGTTTGTGTGTGTGTAGACTACTGTGTGTGTGTACATTACACTGTGTGTGTGTAGATTGTGTGTAGATTGCTGTATGTGTGTACAGTACACTGTGTGTGTATAGATTAATGTGTGTGTACATTTCACTGTGTATGTATGTTACACGGTATGTGTGTGTAGATTACTGTGTGTATGTATGTTACACGGTATGTGTGTGTAGATTACTGTGTGTATGTATGCTACACGGTATGTGTCTGTAGATTACTGTGTGTATGTATGTTACACGGTATGTGTGTGTAGGTGACTGTGTGTATGTACATTACACAGTGTGTGTCGATTGCTGTGCGTGTGTACATTACACTGTGTGGTTGTATAGATTACTGTGTGTGTACATTACACTGTGTGTGTGTGTAAATCACTGTGCTTGTGGAGATTATTGTATGTGTACATTACACTGTGTGTGTAGATTAAAGTGTGTGTGTATATTACTGTATGGGTACATTACACTGTGTGTATAGATTACTGTGTGTGTGTAGATTACTGTGTGTGTAGATTACTGTGTGTGTAGATTACTGTGTGTGTAGATTACTGTGTGTGTGTAGATTACTGTGTGTGTAGATTACTGTGTGTGTAGATTACTGTGTGTGTCTGTATGTAGATTACTGTGTGTTTAAATTACTGTGTGTGTAGATTACTGTGTGTATATATTAAACTGTGTGTGTAGATTACTCTGTCCTTGGTCCCCTCCTCTTCACCCTCTATATGCTCCCCCTGTGGTGACATCATCCGCAGACATGGGGTTCACTCCCACATGTATGCGGATGACACCCAACTCTACCTTTCCTCCTCTACCCTCAACTCCACGACCCCCGATGTCCTGACAGCTGTCTGTCCGACATCGAGTCCTGGACGAGAGACAACTTTCTTCAGCTCAACGTGCGCAAAACTGAGGCCCTCCTGATTGGCTCACGTCAGCGCCTCCGCACCTCAGGCGCTGACACCATCAGCTCCGCACTCTCCACCTCTCAAAGCCATCAGGAACCTCGGGGTTCCCCTCGACCCTCAGCCCTCCTCTCCCCCTCCGCACTCCCCCCTCCACCTCCTCCTCAACCCCCTCCTCCTCCTCCCTCCCCTCGGGGTTCCCCTCGACCCTGAGCTGTCCTTTCTCCCTCATATCTGCGCCACAACTGGCACCGCCTTCCATCACCTCCGGAACATCGCCAGACTACGGCACTACCTCACCCCTCACGCGGCTGAAACTCTGGTCCACACCTTTATCACCTCAAGGCCGGACTATGGGACCTCTCTCCTCGTCGGCCTTCCCGGCCCTCCCTCCACACTGCAGGTCATTCAGAACTCTGCAGCTCGTGTACTGTCCCACACCAGACACCGCACCACATCACTCCCACCCTCACCCTCACTCACACCCTCGCCCTCACCCTCGCCCTCACCCTTACCCTCACTCCCACCCTCGCCCTCACCCTCACCCTCGCCCTCACCCAAGCCCTCACCCTCGCCCTCACCCTCACCCTCACTCCCACCCTCGCCCTCACCCTCACCCTCGCCCTCACCCTCACCCTCACTCCCACCCTCACCCTCGCCCTCACCCTCACCCTCGCCCTCACCCTCGCCCTCACCCTCACCCTTGCCCTCACTCGCCTCCACTGCTCCCCATCCCCCAGAGGATCGAATTCAAGATCCTCATCCTCACCTACAAGGCCATTCACGGCCTCGCTCCCTCCTACCTCTCCGACCTACTATCCCCCACTCACCTGCCCGTACCCTCCGTCCCTCTGGCTCCGGTCTGCTCCACGTCCCCCGCCCCAACCGCCCGACCATCGGTGGCCTTCAGCCTCTCAGCCCCGAGGCTCTGGAACTCCATCCCCAGTGCCTTCACCGCTTCCTCCCTTTCCTCCTTCAAGGCCGGTCTCAAGGTCTTTCTCTTCGACCTTCAGCCTTCAGCTCCGCTCTCGACTCTCTACTCCCTCCCACTCCCTCCCTTCCCTCCCCTCCCCTCACCCTGACCATTACCCCCTCCTCGCCCCCTCCCTTCCCTCCCCTCACCCTGACCATTTCCCCCCTCCTCGCTCCCTCCCTTCCCTCCCCTCACCCTGACCATTTCCTCCCTCCTCGCTCCCTCCCTTCCCTCCCCTCACCCTGACCATTTCCCCCTCCTCGCTCCCTCCCTTCCCTCCCCTCACCCTGACCATTTCCTCCCTCCTCGCTCCCTCTCCCCTCCCCTCACCCTGACCATTTCCCCCCTCCTCGCTCCCTCCCTTCCCTCCCCTCAACCTGACCATTTCCCCCCTTCTCGCTCCCTCCCTTCCGTCCCCTCACCCTGACCATTTCTCCCCTCCTCGCTCCCTCCCTTCCCTCCCCTCACCCTGACCATTTCCCCCCTCCTCGCTCCCTCCCTTCCCTCCCCTCACCCTGACCATTTCCCCCCTCCTCGCTCCCTCCCTTCCCTCCCCTCACCCTGACCATTTCCCCCCTCCTCTCTCCCTCCCTTCCCTCCCCTCACCCTGACCATTTCCCCCAATGCTCGGGTCCTGACCCAACTGTGCAGTGCCTTGGGACGTCCTCCTGACGTGAAAGGCGCTCCATAAATGGAATCTTGTTGTTGTTGTTGTTGTACTGTGTGTGTAGATTACTGTGTGTGTAGATTACTGTGTGTGTAGATTACTGTGTGTGTAGATTACTGTGTGTGTAGATTACTGTGTGTGTAGATTACTGTGTGTGTAGATTACTGTGTGTGTAGATTACTGTGTGTAGATTACTGTGTGTGTAGATTACTGTGTGTGTAGATTACTGTGTGTGTAGATTACTGTGTGTGTAGATTACTGTGTGTAGATTACTGTGTGTGTAGATTACTGTGTGTGTAGATTACTGTGTGTGTAGATTACTGTGTGTAGATTACTGTGTGTAGATTACTGTGTGTGGTGTGGGGGTGGTGGGGGGTTGGAGGCGTTAGGGCGTTAGGGTGGGTGTTGGGTGAGTGGGTGATATGTTGTTTGGTTTAGATCTTTTTGGATGTTTTTGATGTGTTCAGTTCCTATAACCTGACTTTCCACTTTCCTCTCCCCCTCAGTTCTGGGAGGTGATCAGCGATGAGCACGGAATAGATCCCGTTGGCAATTACAATGGGGATTCATATTTACAACTGGAGAGGATTAATGTCTATTACAACGAAGCCTCCTGTAAGTCTAACTGGTTTGTGTGTGTGTGGGGGGTGGGGGGTGGGGGGAGTTTTTTATTTGCAGACATTGCCGAAGGCACGGTCGAAGAGGAGGGTCTTGAGATACACCGTGAAGGAGGCAAGGAACGGGGCGAGACGAAGGGACTGGAATGGAGTTCCAGAGGGTGGGGGCAGAGATGGTGGGGTGGGTGACGCGGGGAAGCTCGCTGAGTGGAGGGAGCAGACAGGTTGATATGGAGTTAGAATTTTTATAGACAAAACATTTCCTTATTTTGTGTGTATGTTTGTTTAATTGTATATATATTTTGTTGTTACCAGAGATGAGGGACGTCAGTTATGTGGAGAGACTAGAGAGGCTGGGATTGTTCTCCTTAGAGCAGAGAAGGTTAAGGCGAGATTTAATAGACGTGTTCACAATGATGAGCGGTTTTAATCGAGTAAATAGGGAGAAACTGTTTCCTCGGGTGGGAGGGTTGGTAACCAGAGGGCACAGATTTAAGATATTTTGCAAAAGAACCAGAGGGGAGATGAGGAGACGTTTTTTAGAGTATTGTTGTGATCTGGAATGCACTGTCTGAAGAGGTGGTGGAATTTGATGCGATAATAATAGCTTTCAAAAGCGAATTGAATGTGCACTTGAAAATAATTTTTTTTTACAAGGCTATTGGGGGTAAGAGTGGGGGAGTGGGAAAAGTTGGGGTAGGAGCAGAGGAGTGGGGCTAGTTGGGGTAAGAGCGAGGGGAGTGGGATTAGTTGGGGTAAGAGTGAGGGAGTGGGGACTAGTTGGGGTAAGAGTGGGGGAGTGGGGACTAGTTGGGGTAAGAGTGGGGGAGTGGAGACTAGTTGGGGTAAGAGCGGGGGAGTGGGGCTAGTTGGGGTAAGAGTGGGGGAGTGGGGACTAGTTGGGGTAAGGGTGGGAGAATGGGACTAGTTGGGGTAAGAGTGGGGGAGTGGGGACTAGTTGGGGTAAGAGTGGGAGAGAGGGGCTTGTTGGGGTAAGAGTGGGGGAGTGTGACTAGTTGGGGTAAGAGTGGGGCTAATTGGAGTAAGAGTGGGGTAGTGGGGCTAGTTGGGGTAAGAGTGGGGGAGAGGGGCTTGTTGGGGTAAGAGTGGGGGAGTGTGACTAGTTGGGGTAAGAGTGGGGCTAATTGGGGTAAGAGTGGGGCTAGTTGGGGTAAGGGTGGGGATAGTTGGGGTAAGAATGGGGCTAGTTGTGGTCAGAGTGGGGCTAGTTGGGGTAAGAGTGGGGGAGTGGGGCTAGTTGGAGTAAGAGTGGGGCTAGTTGGGGTCAGAGTGGGGCTAGTTGGGGTAAGAGTGGGGCTAGTTGGGGTCAGAGTGGGGCTAGTTGGGGTAGAGTGGGAATAGTTGGGGTCAGAGTGGGGCTAGTTGGGGTCAGAGTGGGGCTAGTTGGGGTAGCGTGGGGATAGTTGGGGTAGAGTGGGGATAGTTGGGGTAGAGTGGGGATAGTTGGGATAGAGTGGGGCTAGTTGGGGTCAGAGTGGGGCTAGTTGGGGTCAGAGTGGGGCTAGTTGGGGTAGCGTGGGGATAGTTGGGGTAGAGTGGGGCTAGTTGGGGTAGAGTGGGGATAGTTGGGATAGAGTGGGGCTAGTTGGGGTCAGAGTGGGGCTAGTTGGGGTCAAAGTGGGGCTAGTTGGGGTAGAGTGCAACTAGTTGGGGTCAGAGTGTGGCTAGTTGGGGTAGAGTGGGGCTAGTTGGGGTAGAGTGGGGCTAGTTGGGGTAGAGTGGGGCTAGTTGGGGTAGAGTGGGGCTAGTTGGGGTAGAGTAGGGCTAGTTGGGGTAGAGGGGGTAGTTGGGGTAGAGGGGGCTAGTTGGGGTAGAGGGGGCTAGTTGGGGTAGAGTGGGGCTAGTTGGGGTAGAGGGGGCTAGTTGGGGTAGAGGGGGCTAGTTGGGGTAGAGGGGGCTAGTTGGGGTAGAGTGGGGCTAGTTGGAGTAGAGGGGGCTAGTTGGGGTAGAGTGGGGCTAGTTGGGGTAGAGTGGGGGCTAGTTGGGGTAGAGGGGGCTAGTTGGGGTAGAGGGGCTAGTTGGGGTAGAGTGGGGTCTAGTTGGGGTAGAGGGGGCTAGTTGGGGTAGAGTGGGGTCTAGTTGGGGTAGAGTGGGGGCTAGTTGGGGTAGAGTGGGGGCTAGTTGGGGTAGAGTGGGGCTAGTTGGGGTAGAGGGGTCTAGTTGGGGTAGAGGGGGGTTGGTGGGGTAGAGGGGGCTAGTTGGGGTAGAGGGGGCTAGTTGGGGTAGAGGGGTCTAGTTGGGGTAGAGGGGGCTAGTTGGGGTAGAGTGGGCTAGTTGGGGTAGAGGGGGCTAGTTGGGGTAGAGGGGGGTGGTGGGGTAGAGGGGGCTAGTTGGGGTAGAGGGGTCTAGTTGGGGTAGAGGGGGGCTAGTTGGGGTAGAGGGGGCTAGTTGGGGTAGAGGGGGGTTGGTGGGGTAGAGGGGGCTAGTTGGGGTAGAGGGGGCTAGTTGGGGTAGAGGGGGCTAGTTGGGGTAGAGGGGGCTAGTTGGGGTAGAGTGGGGCTAGTTGGGGTAGAGGGGGCTAGTTGGGGTAGAGGGGGGTTGGTGGGTAGAGGGGGCTAGTTGGGGTAGAGGGGGCTAGTTGGGGTAGAGGGGGGCTAGTTGGGGTAGAGGGGGGCTAGTTGGGGTAGAGGGGCTAGTTGGGTAGAGGGGCTAGTGGGGTAGAGGGGGCTAGTTGGGGTAGAGGGGGCTAGTTGGGGTAGAGGGGCTAGTTGGGGTAGAGGGGGCTAGTTGGGGTAGAGGGGGGCTAGTTGGGGTAGAGGGGGGCTAGTTGGGGTAGAGGGGGCTAGTTGGGGTAGAGGGGGCTAGTTGGGGTAGAGGGGGGCTAGTTGGGGTAGAGGGGGCTAGTTGGGGTAGAGGGGGTGGTGGGGTAGAGGGGGCTAGTTGGGGTAGAGGGGGCTAGTTGGGGTAGAGGGGGCTAGTTGGGGTAGAGGGGGCTAGTTGGGGTAGAGGGGGGTTGGTGGGGTAGAGGGGGCTAGTTGGGGTAGAGGGGGCTAGTTGGGGTAGAGTGGGGGCTAGTTGGGGTAGAGTGGGGGCTAGTTGGGGTAGAGGGGGCTGGTTGGGGTAGAGGGGGCTAGTTGGGGTAGAGGGGGCTAGTTGGGGTAGAGTGGGGCTAGTTGGGGTAGAGGGGGCTAGTTGGGGTAGAGGGGGCTAGTTGGGGTAGAGGGGGCTAGTTGGGGTAGAGTGGGGCTAGTTGGGGTAGAGGGGGCTAGTTGGGGTAGAGTGGGGCTAGTTGGGGTAGAGGGGGCTAGTTGGGGTAGAGTGGGGGCTAGTTGGGGTAGAGTGGGGTCTGGTTGGGGTAGAGTGGGGTCTGGTTGGGGTAGAGTGGGGGCTGGTTGGGGTAGAGGGGTCTAGTTGGGGTAGAGGGGGCTAGTTGGGGTAGAGGGGGCTAGTTGGGGTAGAGGGGGCTAGTTGGGGTAGAGGGGGCTAGTTGGGGTAGAGGGGGGTTGGTGGGGTAGAGGGGGCTAGTTGGGGTAGAGGGGGCTAGTTGGGGTAGAGTGGGGGCTAGTTGGGGTAGAGTGGGGCTAGTTGGGGTAGAGGGGGCTAGTTGGGGTAGAGGGGTCTAGTTGGGGTAGAGGGGGCTAGTTGGGGTAGAGGGGGGTTGGTGGGGTAGAGGGGGGCTAGTTGGGGTAGAGGGGGCTAGTTGGGGTAGAGGGGTCTAGTTGGGGTAGAGGGGGGCTAGTTGGGGTAGAGGGGGGCTAGTTGGGGTAGAGGGGGGTTGGTGGCTGAATGGCCTTCTGTGCTGTAACATTGTGTGATTCAGTGTATAATGACGACTGTTCTGTGTTTCCAGCCCAGAAGTATGTCCCGAGGGCCATTTTGTTGGATCTGGAACCGGGGACGATGGACAGTGTCCGCTCGGGAACCTTAGGACAACTTTTCAGACCCGATAACTTCATTTTTGGTGAGTGACATTGTCGCTTGTTTCTGATCCCGGGTTTAAACCCCACTCTTTGCCCTCTCCACCCCCCCCATCCCCCCCCCGAACCCCACCCCATATGCTTTGATGTGTCCTGTGTGTGTTTGGAGGAGCAGTGACTGAAATAAGATTCAGGTCAAACAGTTGGCAAACCGCTGGTTCCAGGACACGCTGCGGAGTCATATAATCCTCACTTCCCAGAGTCTCACATGAAGACGATTCCTCACACGTCACAGCGTTCATTTGGAAGTTTAGTGATCTGCCTTTTTGTAATAGAAGCTGGAAACTGAACTCATTGACAGAGCAGCTCAACACAGTAATAATAATCATCATAATAATATTAATCCTGGCATTTGATATAATGCCTCATCACATCTTCGAGATGTTTCAAAGTGCTTCACAGAATACACCGTAAAGTGTAGTGACTGTGTATTTTGTGGGTGAAACGCAGCAGCCAATTGCACACAGCAGTGTCCCACAAACAGTCATTGAACTGAGTGACCAAATTATTATTTTTTTTTAAGGATTTATTACCCCCTTAATAATAATTTCAGTACTGGGAAAGGGCTGGCTTTGGTCAGCCGGGTGTCTGACACATGCAGAAACCCATCACCGTGTTTGGGAGTCTCCAAACTAAACTGGGAGTTTGACATATAGAAATATAGAATTATACAGCACAGAAGGAGGCCATTCGGCCCATCATGTCTGTGCCAATTCTTTGAAAAGAGCTTCCAAATCAGCCCCACTGCCCCGCTCTCTCCGTGCAAACTTGCCCTTCCCAAATAGTTATCTAAGTTATGTTTGTATATAACCTACACATAGAACCTTGTAACAGGTGGAAATCAACAGCTGTGATAAGCTGTGATGGAGTCCTGTAGCTCAGTGGTTAGAGCACTCGCTTTGCAAGTGAGAGACCTGAGTTCAATTCCAGACAGAGCGAAACCTTGGGCAAGTTTCCTTACTCCACACAGAGCCTAATAATAATCCTCCAAAACCAAAAACAATAATAAATTGGTCATTTTCAATCTACGACTGTTTGTGGGACATTGCTGTGCGCAATTGGCTGCTGCGTTCGCCCACAAATATACAGTCAATTCACTTTACAGTGTGTTCTGTGAAGCGCTTTGGGACGTCCTCCTGACGTGAAAAGCGCTATATCAAATGCAAGGATTATTATTATTATTATTATTATAAGGCACCAGTAATGGTGTTAGCAACTGGAAAGCTGAACTCATTGTCAAAGCAGCTTGATACAGTCATAATAATAATAATAATCTTTGCATTCGATAGAGCACCTTATCACGTCATTGAGACGTCTCAATGGTTGTTTGTCAATTGGTGGATCGCTTTTCCGGGACTAATAATTCCTTCAAAACAATCGACTAACAACCGGGTTCCTATGACTGCTGGTAAACAGAGCCATGTGGAGTAAGGAAACTTGCCTTAGGTTTCGCCATGTCCGGGAATCAAGCCCGGGTCCTCTCGCTTGCGAGGCGAGGGCTCTGTAATCGGGACCAACCCTCTTCTCTGTTTGTGTAGTGCCATGGGTTCTGTAACATGTTTCTGAACGGGCAGACGGGAGGTTAGTTTAAAGTCTCATCCAAAGAGTGGCGTCTCCGACAATGCCACACCCCCCCATGTATTGCACTGGAATGTCAGCCTAGACTGAGCTCAAAGTCCTGACGTGGGGCTTGAACCCACAACCGTGTGACTCGGAGGGAGAGTGTTACACACTGAAACAGGCTGACACCAAATATTGACTTACAATGAAGAATAACTGTAAGACATTCTAGTCCGGTGACTGTGAGTGAAGTCTGGAGTCTCTGCTGCGGAAACCCTCTGTGGTTTGTGATGTGAAATGCCTGTGAGAGAAACCATTCTACAGGAGTCAGGGGGTGGAGGGTCAGTCAACATCTGTCATTACAGAGAGGTTTTCAACTGCATTTTCTATTTCCAGTTGTTAAACTGTTTAATTTATCCCCAGTGATAACTGGGGACCAGAAACTGTTTAGGAATAATGCATTTCCTGCTATAAATGTTTTCCACGGGTGTTTATTGGGTTGTGGAGTGCGTTACCATATATGGTGGTTGAACAGTCAAATATGTTACATGGAGTAGAAACGGTGAAGCACTTGGAGAATAAAGAAATCCTGTGCAGACTGTAGCTCAGGGTTAGAGCCCTCGCCTCGCGAGCCAGAGGGCCGAGTTTGGCTCCCGGGCAGAGCGAAACCTTGGGCAAGTTTCCCTACTCCCCGCGCCTCTGGTTACCAGCAGTGAGTAGGAACCCACTTGTTAGTTGATTAGTGGATCACATTCTGGGGGTAATAATCCCTTCAAACAAAGATAATAATTTGGTCACTCAATCCAATTTTGGTCACTGTTTGTGGGTCACTGTTGTGCGCAATTGGCTGTCGTGTTTCGCCCACAAAACATCCAGTCAATTTACTTTAGTTTAATCTGTGAAGCGCTTTGAGACGTCTCAACAATGTGATAAGGCGTTGTATCAAATGCAAGGATTGTTATTATTATAAATCAAACGGTATTGCAGGAATAATAGCAGGGAAATGGGATAGATGTTAAGTAGGTCATAGATATGGATGGCTTCCTTCTGTACTGAAATAATCGAATCTCTGAAGTTCAGAAATCATCTGTTGTTCTTCCAAAATAAGTGTCTGCAAGTTCACGATGGGTTTCTGTGCAAACAACATAGTGACTTCACTGCACAAGAATCATTCCCTTTTGTTTTGCCTGCAAGCAACTCGGAGGCTTTCGATCACGACCGAGTAATGTTCCATCTTTTATAACTTTAAAAACTGGCGAAGGAAACGTTTACACAATCCAACAGTTTTACAGTTTTATTAATAATAATCCTTGCATTTGATATTGCGCTTTATCAAATCAATGAGATGTCTCCAAGTGCTTTGCAGGATATATTGTAGAGTAGATTGACTGGGTATTTTGTGGGCGAAATATGGCAGCCAGTTGGCACAGCAGCGTCATACAAACAGATTATTCCAAGCAAGTGAGAGGACCTCCAGGGCAGGGCGAAACCTGAGGCACGTTCCCTTACCCCACACGCCTCGTGCCAGCAGGTCCGCCCCTCGGGCACTGGCAGCACCAGCCTCCACGGCTGCACTCTCACCCTCACTGAGCCAGTCAGGAACCGGGGGTCTTGTTTGACCCTCAACTGTCCTTTCTCCCCCCACATCCGCGCCATGACCGGCACTGCCCACCACCACCTCTGCAACACTGCCTCACCCCTCAGGCCCCCAAACCCTCACCCACACATTCGTCACCTCAAGGCTCGATTACGGGAACTCCCTCCTCATCGGCCTTCCCACCTCTTCCCTTCACAACCTGCAGATCATCCACAACTCTGCAGCTCATGTACTCTCACGACCAGACTCCGTGACCCCATCACTCCCACCCTCGCCCGACCCCATCACTCCCACCCTCGCCCGACCCCATCACTCCCACCCTCGCCCGACCCCATCACTCCCACCCTCGCCCGACCCCATCACTCCCACCCTCACCCGACCCCATCACTCCCACCCTTGCCCGACCCCATCACTCCTACCCTCGCCCGACCCCATCACCCCCACCCTCGCTCGACCCCATCACTCCCACCCTCGCCCGACCCCATCACCCCCACCCTCGCCCGACCCCATCACCCCCACCCTCACCCGACCCCATCACCCACACCCTCGCCCGACCCCATCACCCCCACCCTCGCCAGACCCCATCACTCCCACCCTCGCCCGACCCCATCACCCCCACCCTCGCCCGACCCCATCACTCCCACCCTCACCCGACCCCATCACTCCCTCCACTGGCTCCCCATCCCCCAGAGGATCGAGTTCAAGATCCTCATCCTCACTTCCAAGGCCACCCCCTCCTACCTCTCTGACCTGCTGACTCCCTAACAACCTGCCCACTCCCTCCGTTCATCGGGCTCCGGCTGCTCTATGTCTCCCGCCTGACCTGCCCTACCCTCGGTGGCCGGGCTTTCAGTCTCTCTGCCCCTACACTCTGGAACTCCATCCCACGGTCCCTTCGCCTCGCTTCCTCCCTCGCCTCCTTCAAGGCCGGTCTCAAGACCCTTCTCTTCAACCGTGCCTTTGGTCTCCCTCCCACCTCTCTGCCTTCCCTCCCCCCTCCGTGATTCACCCATAAAATACACAGTCACTACACTTAACAGTATATTCCATGAAGCACTTTGAGACATCTCAATGACATGATAAGGTGCTATATCAAATGCAAGGACTTTTATTATTATTTATTATTATTGCTATATCAGGTGTTTAATAGGCTCTAAAATTGCTCTCCTTAGTAAAATGTAACAAGTACGGAATGAAATCAGCTTCTCCTGGTGTCGGGGCTCAAATACTTGGTCGCACGTTATGAACTGGTCCAACAAGATGAGGTAATGCAAATGGAATGAACTCAATGTGATTTCCTTTCTTCAGCAGTGAACGGCTCTATTGAAAAGCCTTGTCTGACGAGTGGCTGATTTTGGTCGGATTTGAACATGTTTGGCTGACTCAGCAAAGTGCCAATAACAGCGTCCGCTCATTGTTGGAGAGATCATAGCATTAGCTGACCAGGCAAAAGGTGGAAGCGTTACCAGTTTGCATTAGTGCAGTTAGTATTTTATCCCACGTAGGGACTTGAATCTTGGAGGCCAAGGACAATCCCAGGCTCCTCTTCTCCACCACTAACCGCCTCCTCTGTCCACCATCCCGTGCCTCACTCATCCTCTCCTCCAACTCCAACTGCGAGAAGATGCTGGACTTCCTTGAATCCAAAATAGGGGGATTCGTTCGGCCGCCTCTTCCCATCCACCCTTACCCCCTTGCCACCTCCCTCTCACGCCCCAGCACCCACACATCCCTCCCTACACACCTTTGACCCTGTCTCCCCCTCTTCCCTCACCTCCATCATCTCAAAAATTAAGCCCACCACGTGCTTCCTTGACCCCATCTCCACCCCTCTCCACACCTCCCAACTCCACCTCCTGTCCCCTCTTTTAACCAACATTACCAACCTCTCCTTATCCACTGGCACTATTCCCATCCCCATAAAACAGCCCCATCATCCCCATCCCTATTCTCTCTCCAGCTACAGCCCCATCTCCAACCTCCCTTTCCTCTCCTCGGCTCTGGAACGAATCGTCGCGTCCCGTTCTTCCTCTCCCGCCACTCGCTCTCTGAACCCCTTCAATTGAGCTTCCGTGCCGCCCACAGCACAGAAACCACCCTGGTCAGTGACAAATGATATTCTGTCCATCTGCGACCAGGGCTCCCTCTGCCTCCTTGTCCTCCTTGAGCTCTCTGCTGCCTTCGACACCGTTGACCGCTCTATTCTCATCCACTGCCTCTCCTCTCACCTCAACCTCGTACCTCTCACACCACCTTCACTTCATCTCCTCAAACAGCTTCTCCTCCAGCCCCCGCACTGTCTTGTGTGGCGTTCCTCAGGGTTCTGTCCTTGGTTCCCTCCTCTTCAATATCTATATGTTCCCTCTGACATCATCCGCAGACATGGGGTCAACTCTCTCTCTCTCTGCCTCCACTATTGACTCCAGGACCCACTGCTGTCCTGACACAATGTCTGTCAGACATCAGGTCCTGGATGAGAGCGAACTTTCTATAGTTGAACGTCAACAAGACTGAGGCTCCTGATTGGCTCCCGTCAGCGCCTCCTCACCTCAGGCGCTGACAGCATCACCATCCCTGGGGCTCACTCCCCCTCACTGAGCCAGTCCCGAACCTTGGGGTCTTGTTGGACCCTCAACAACCTTTCTTCCCCACATCCATGCCATGACTCGCTCTGCTTTCCCCACCTCCACAACATCGCCGGCTCCACCACTGTCTCACACCGCAGCCCCCGAGACCCTCACACACACCTTCATTACATCGAGGCTCGACTGTGCAAACTCACTGCTTGTCGGCCCCCAACTCGACTCCTCCCTCCATAGGCGGCAGATCATCCAGAACTCTGCAGCCCGTGTCCTCTCCCGCACCGGCTCCGTGACCCTATCACCCCCATCCTCGCCCGACTCCACTGGCTTCCCATCACACAGTTCAAGATCCTGGTCCTCACCTTCAAAGCCCTCCATGGTCTTGCTCCCCCCGACCTCTGCCACCTCCTAACCCCCTACCATCCTGCTCGCTCCCTCTGCTTCACGTCCCCCGCCTCGCTCGCCCCCAATATTGGCGGGTGGGCCTTCTGCCACTCTGCCCCCACCCTCTGGAACTCTATCCCGCAGTTCCTCCACCTCGGCCCCTCCCTCGCCCCCTCCCTCGCCTCCTTCAAGCTCCGTCTCAAGGCCCTCTTCTTTGACTGTTCCTTCAGTCACTCTCCTTCCCCCCCTGCCCTCCACCCGCACCGCTCCTGACCCCCAGCTCGGGTCCATAACTCTGTCTGTCCAGCACCTTGGGACATCCTCCCGACGTGAAAAGCGATTTACACATGTAATCTTGTTGTTATTGTTGTTGAACTCATACACAGTCTAAGCTGATGCTCCAATACAGCGCTGGGGGTGGGGGGGCACTGTGGGAGGGGGTTGGGGGGCACTGTGTGGGGGGGGGGTTGCACTGTGGGAGGTGCCGTCCTCGGGAGGAGACGTTAACCCGAGGTCCCGTCTGCCTGTTCAGGTGGATGGTAAAGATCCCGCGGGGCTATTGGAAAAGAGAAGGGAGTTTCTCTCTCTCCCGGTGTCCTGGACAACAATTTTCCAAATAATATTGGCCACTCACCCCACGGCTGTGTGTGGGGACACTGCTGTGTGCAACTGGCTGTCATGTTCACCTACAAATCCACAGTCACTACACTTTACAGAATAACCTCTGAAGCGCTTTGAGACGTGATAAGGCACTATATCAAATGTAAGTATTATTATCACTCCAAAAGAAAAGGGCTCAGTGACTAGTTATCAGGAGTAGTGAGCTTGGCATGTGTATAAATACAGAAATAAATGTGACAGCCTGATGACTTAAAGGATAGTGACAAGTTAAGCCAGGTATCAGCTTAACTTGTTGAGTTATCAGGAATCTACTGTAGCTTTCGAATAAAGCTATTCAGTTTTGTACTGACTAAACCTTCCTCAGTCACAGCTGAAACACTTATCCGTGCACTTGTTTTCAAATCTCTATTGAATCTCCCCTTAACCTTCTCTGCTCTCAGGGGAACAATCTCAGCTTCTCAAGTCTCTCCACATAACTAAAGTCCCTCATCCCTGGTATCATCCTGGTAAATCTCCTCTGTTCCCTCTCCAAGGACCTGACATCCTTCCTAAAGTGTGGTGCCCAGAATTGGACACGTCATAACATAAGAACATAAGAAATGCTGGACGAAAAAAGACCAAGGTCCATCTAGTTGGCCTTCCACCTCCCTGGCAGTCACATGCACATATGTTCCCATCTCCCTATGTGCTGTATCCCATCATGTTATTCCCTAAAACAAAACTATCTAATCTGTGATTGAAAGAATCAACATTTCCTGCTTCAACCGTCTCCCCAGGGAGCCTGTTCCACAGGGTCACTATTCGCTCACTGAAATAGTGTTTGCGTAGATTTGTTCAATCGTAGGCCGTGTCCCCTGGTTTACTATTCTGGACACGTTGAAGCAGCGCGTCATGAACTAAACACAAAATACTGCAAAGGCTGGAATCTGAAACAAAAACAGAAGTGATTGGGAACCTCAGCAGGTCCGGCAGCATCTATGGCGAAAGGAAAGTGAGTCAATGTTTCGGGTCCACGACCCTTCGTCAGTTCTGATGAAAGGTTGTGGATCCGAAACGTTGACTTTCCTGTCTCTTTCCTGTCTCCATAGATGCTGCCTGACCTGCTGAGGGTTCCCAGCTCCCTCTGTTTCTGTCATGATGTGGATTGTTTTGCCCCTGGTTTTGGTTTTAGAATCTTAAAGACAGTAATCATGTCACCTCTCAATCTTCTCTTTTCCAGTGTGATCCCCAAATGATCTCTGACTGTTCAGCGACTTGGGGTGTCCTCCCAACGTGAAAGGCGCTTTAATACGTTAGAATCCATTAGAATAAACAGTACAGAAACAGGCCATTTGGCCCAACTGGTCTGTGCCAGTGTTTATGCTCCACATGAGCCCCTCCTGCCCTTCCCCTTCCTTCAAGCCTAACCTTCTGTTCCTTTCTCCCTCAGGTACCTCTCGAGCTTTCCCTTAAGTACATCTGTGCTATTTGCCTCAACAACTCCTTGTGGAGCATTGTTCCACATTCCCACTACTCTCTGTGTGAAGACATTTCTTCTAACTTTCCTGTTTGATCTATTAGTGACTATTTTGTGGAGTCCTGTAGCTCAGTGGTTAGAGCACTCGCTTTGCAAGCGAGAGACCTGAGTTCAATTCCAGGCAGAGGGCGAAACCTTGGGCAAGTTTCCTTACTCCACACAGAGCCTAATAATAATCCCTCCAAAAAAACAATAATAAATTGGTCATTTTCAATCTACGACTGTTTGAGGGACATTGCTGTGCGCAATTGGCTGCCGCGTTCGCCCACAAATATACAGTCAATTCACTTTACAGTGTGTTCTGTGAAGCGCTTTGGGACGTCCTCCCGATGTGAAAAGCGCTATATCAAATGTAAGGATTATTATTATTATTATTATTATTTTATGTTGATGGCCCTGGTTTTGGTCTCCCCCACAAGTGGAAACAATCCTGCCCTTTACAAATGTAATGTTGTTGTTGTTGCCTAATTTATTCAGTCCTTCCATTCCTTCATTTTGTTTGCCGTCCTCTGTATCTTCTCGATTTCTCCAATATCCTTTTTGTACTGCGGTGACCAGAACTATACACAGTCTCTAAGTACAGTCTCACCAATGATTTCGCCCACAAATATGCAGTCAATTCACTTTACAGTGTGTTCTGTGAAGCGCTTTGGGACGTCCTCCCGACGTGAAAAGCACTATATCAAATGCAAGGATTATTATTATTATACAGTGGCACTATTTCCCCACTATTTTGGCTGCTATTGATCTTTTGATACATCCCAACATCTGGTTTGCTTTATTCACTGCCACAGAGCATTGTTGGGAGAGCTTCAATTTATCGTCAATCAGGACCCCCAGGTCCTTCATTTTCCTATATATTATTTTCTACTCTTTTTGATATATAACAACTTGGATTTATATAGCTCCCTCCACACCGGACGGCGTCTCAGAGCACTTATATGACTTGGCCTTGAGTATAAAGAGCAACATTTTAAAGTTTGCAGATGATACAAAACTTGGGAACGTGGTAAACAGTGAGGAGGATAGAGCAGACTGCAGGAGGAGATGGACCGGCTGGTGAAATGGGCCGACACGCGGCAGATGAAGTTTAATGCAGAGAAGTGTGAGTGGTGCATTTTGGGAGGAAGAATGAGGAGAGGCAATACACTAAATGGTAGTTTTAAAGGGGGTTCAGGACCAGAGAGACCTGGGGTTCACAGGTCTTTGAAGGTGGCAGAACAGGTTGTTTGAGCCATATGGGATCCTTGGCTTTATACATAGAGGCACAGAGTACAAAAGCAAGGAAGTTCCCCTAAACCTCTATAGGTCATTGGTTAGACCTCAGCTGGAGTATTGAGCAACAGCGATCACAATGCAGTCACAAGAACCGATGAGGTTATATAAAAAAAACTGTCAAATTTCAAGAGGACTGACATTTTTTAGTTAAATTAGGAGTCGATGAGAAACAAGCAATGGAATAGGGCCACTGAAGGTGGATTTGGGAAACGCCATTCCACAGTCCCTCTCCCTCGCCTCCTCCCTCACCTCCTTCAAGGCCCATCTGAAGAGCCTCCTCCTACCCCCACCCTCCCTGCCCTCTCCCCCTCCTGATCCCAACCCCCAGCCTGACTGTCCAGCGCCTTGGGATGACCTCCTGACGTGAGCGGCAGGCACTGTGAGAATGTCATTCTGTAATTATTATTATTCTTTCTTTGTTGCTGATATCAGGGCAGACGGGTGCAGGAAACAACTGGGCCAAAGGGCATTACACAGAAGGCGCTGAGCTGGTGGACTCGGTGATGGACGTACTGAGGAAGGAGTGTGAGAACTGTGACTGTCTGCAGGGTTTCCAGTTGACGCACTCCCTGGGCGGGGGCACAGGCTCGGGGATGGGGACGCTGCTGATCAGTAAGATCCGGGAGGAGTTCCCCGACCGTATCATGAACACGTTCAGTGTCATGCCGTCTCCCAAGGTGTCGGACACGGTGGTGGAGCCCTACAACGCCACCCTGTCCGTGCACCAGCTGGTGGAGAACACCGACGAGACTTACTGCATCGACAACGAGGCCCTGTACGACATCTGCTTCCGCACCCTCAAGCTGACCACGCCCACCTACGGCGACCTCAACCACCTGGTGTCGTCCACCATGAGCGGCGTCACCACCTCACTGCGCTTCCCGGGGCAGCTGAACGCCGACCTGCGCAAACTGGCGGTCAACATGGTGCCCTTCCCCCGCCTGCACTTCTTCATGCCCGGCTTCGCCCCCCTGACCAGCCGCGGCAGCCAGCAGTACCGGACCCTCTCCGTGCCCGAGCTCACACAGCAGATGTTCGACGCAAAGAACATGATGGCGGCCTGCGACCCGCGGCACGGCCGGTACCTCACCGTGGCCGCCATCTTCCGCGGCTCCATGTCCATGAAGGAGATCGACGAGCAGATGCTGTCGGTGCAGAGTAAGAACAGCAGCTACTTTGTGGAGTGGATCCCCAACAACGTCAAGGTGGCCGTGTGTGACATCCCTCCTCGCGGCCTCACCATGGCCTCCACCTTCATCGGCAACTCCACCGCCATCCAGGAGCTCTTCAAGCGCATCTCGGAGCAGTTCTCTGCCATGTTCAGGAGGAAGGCTTTCCTGCACTGGTTCACGGGCGAGGGCATGGACGAGATGGAGTTCTCGGAGGCCGAGAGCAACATGAATGACCTGGTGTCGGAGTATCAGCAATACCAGGACGCCACGGCCGACCAGGACCAGGACTTCGAGGAGGAAGAGGAGGAGCGCGAGGAGATCCAGTGAGCGTTTTTCAGAGGCAACAAACACTTGTTAAATAATAATAGCGACAGCAACTTGCATTTATATAGCACCCCTCACACAGGGCAGTGCCCCAGAGAGCTTGATAATAAGAGGAATAATACTCCCTCCCCCCAAAAAAAACAAACCAACAAATAAATAAACAAATAAATAAATAAACAAACAAATAAATAAATGTGATCACTCACCCCACGGCTGTGTGTGGGACACTCACTGCTGTGCGCAATTGGCTGCCACGTTTCGCCCACAAAATACACAGTTAATTCACGTTACAGTGTATAGTGTGAAGCGCTTTGAGACATCTCGAAGATGTGCTGAGGGGTGGTATAAAATGCAAAGATTATTATTGTTAATAATATGAGTTTTTACAATAACTCCAATATTCTGATTTCTGAAGCGATAGACAAAGTCACAAAGTCCTGTTACCCCCATGTCCCGCCCCCGTCCCCCCCTTACAGTGCACTGACTAACAACCGAATCATGTGGAAGATGATGATGATAATATGTAGAATTTACTGCATTGTATTCAGTCCAAGTGTTTAACTTTATTTACACGTCCAGAGGATGGGTGTGAGAGAGTGAGTGAGTGTGAGCGAGTGAGTGAGCGTGAGTGTGTGTGAGCGAGTGAGCGTGAGTGAGTGTGAGCGAGTGAGTGAGTGAGTGTGAGCGAGTGAGTGAGTGTTTGTGTGAGCGAGTGAGCGTGTGTGAGTGTATGTGTGTGTGTGAGAGTGAGTGTGAGAGAGTGAGGAAGTGAGTGAGAATGTGATTGAGCAAGTGAGTTTGTGAGTGAGTGTGTGAGTGGGTGTGTGAGTGAGTTTGAGTGTGTGAGCGAGTGAGTGTGTGAGCGAGTGAGTGTGTGTGAGTGAGTGTGTGAGTGAGTGTGTAAATGAGCGAATGAGCGAGTGAGTGTGTGTGAGCGAGTGAATGTGTGAGTAAGTATGTGAGTGAGTGAGTGTGTGAGTGTGTAAGTGAGCGAGCGAGGGAGTGAGGAAGTGAGTGTGTGAGTGAGTGAGTGTGTGAGTGAGTGTGTAAGTGAGTGAGCGAGTGAGAAAGTGAGGAAGTGAGTGTGTGAGTGAGTGTGTGAGTGAGTGTGTAAGTGAGTGAGGGAGTGAGGAACAGAAACAGATCCACAACAGAAAATAACCATTGATGGTCAGAGAGAGAAACCCCACGAGGGGTAACAGGACTTTGTGAACACCGGATCACTCGGCATTTTGATGTGCCTCTGGTTATAACTGGGATTGTTACAGGAAAGCAAATGGTTATGGGTTTCTGTATTACAAACGCTCATTAAAATGCTCGGAACTTTTTTGCTGCAACAGAAGAATTTATGTTTCTTTGTCTTTCCCCCTCTTCCCCGCAACAAATGATCATTTCTCTCTGTTGTTCCCGTTGTCTCTGTGGCTCTCGAGACACTCACAATAACTGCCAAACGTGCGGTCGAAGAGGAGGGTCTTGAGATGTGCTTCGAAGGAGGCAAAGGAGGGAGTGAGGGAATATGTAATGGAATTCCAGAGGGTGGGGGCAGAGAGCTTGAAGGCCCGACCGACAATGAGAATCTGTCTGGGCGGAGGACATGGGGCAGACCGGAGGCAGCTGTAGGTTCATAGTGGGTCAGTGGTCAGAGATATAGGAGGGGGCAACGCCGTGGAGGGCCTTGAAAGTGAGGACAAGGATTTTGAGCTCTATCCTCAAACTCTATGGGGAGTCGGTGGAGCCGGGCGGGTGGGGATGATGGGGTCGCGGAGCCGGTGCGGGAGAGGACACGGGCTGCAGAGTTCTGGGTGATCTGCAGCCTGTGGAGGGAGGAGATGAGAAGGCTGCCGCGGAGGGAGTTGATGTAGTCGAGCCTTGATGTGATTTTAAAAAGAAAGTCTGGAAACAGTTTTAGTTTGTATTCGGCGCTGCACTTGATTAGGCTGACGTGAGCAGTTTGGTATTTAGATCTATTGGGAAGGAGCCGAGAGAATGGTTTTGTGAAATGCTGTGGGTGGTGAGGAAATATGATCAACAAAACTTGGTGATCAAATTGATCAAATTGCAGGTTAATTACTCACAGCACAGCTGCCGTCAGCCACTCGTGAGAGAAGCAAAAGGATCCATGTGTATGTCAGGCAGTGACAGACTTTACTGTTACTCACAGCCGCACACAAAGATTTCTGTTGGCTCAGGCGAGTGTCTGACGCCGACAGAAACCCATCACAATGCTTAGGAATCTCCAAACCCAAGTGAGATTTCCATCCATCCGACCGTTTCAGCCACAAAACAGTCAACTCACTTTACAGTGTATCCTGTGAAGCGCTTTGAGGCGTCTCAAAGCTGTGATCAGGCGCTGTATTAAATGTGAGGATTATTATTGTTACACTCAGAAATCGTAGAGAGATTGAACCGAATGTGATCTCTCTCTCTCTCTCTCCCCCCTGGAGGGAGGTATCCTTCTTACCTAATTCCAGAGAGTATTAGGCGCAGGTTGGCGAGAGCCGAGGTTTGGGGGGGCCCCAGAGTGTGTGTTGGGGTAACTGCTGGAGTGTAACCCGCTAAACCCACACCGCTCGGCCATTGATATCACTGTCCGGCAGCTTTCCCGCTGCTTGTCCAGCGAGGACCCCCCTCCCCGTTAGTTAGGGCTTTGGCTGTGGGGTTACCAGGGGCTGAGGGGGAGGATTCCCGGCCCCCAGTGACTGGTCGGCCCTTCCAGGTCCTGCTGATGAGTGGGAGAGGGACACTGCGGCCCCTCCTGGTCAGGACTGGAGACCGGCACAGAGTGGGGGGGGGGCGATTCCCACATTCTGTTGCCAAACAAAATTCAGGTCAAATGGTTTAATGGCTCCGTCGTGAAACTAATGACTGTCACTATTTAAGAGCTTTCATTAGTTTGTTGATCAGTTCTTCAGAGATCAGGTTCTAAAATTAAATTCCACAATGGTAACAACAACAACAACAACAGCTTGGATGTATATAGTGCCCTTCGCACCGGACGGCGTCTCAGAGCTTCACAGTAATGGATCCCGGGGCCGAGCCAGGGGGAGGGGCCAGGGGAGGGGGGGCAGGCGAGGGGGCGGGGGGGCAGGGGAGGGGCTGGGGAGGAGCCAGGGGAGTGGGTGGGGCCAGGGGAGGGGGAGGAGCCAGGGGCCATGGAGTGGGTGGGGCCAAGGGAGGAGCTGGGGGCAGGGGGAGGAGCCAGTGGAGGGGGAGGGGCCGGGGAGTGGAGGGGGAGGGGCCAGGGGAGGAGCTGGGGGGAGGGGGAGGAGCTAGTGGAGGGACCGGGGAGTGGAGGGGGAGGGGCCAGGGGAGGAGCTGGGGGAGGAGCCAGGGGAGGGGGAGGTGCCGGGGAGTGGAGTGGGAGGGGCCAGAGGAGGAGCTGGGGGAGGAGCCAGGGGAGGGGGAGGGGCCAGGGAGTGGAGTGGGAGGGGCCGGGGAGGGGGAGGTATGTTAATTCTTAGGTCTACCACATATTTTACATAATTATGCAAAATAATAAAATAATAAAGCAAATGCAAAGATTATTATAATAATAATGTGGTCACTCAATAAGTGTGTGTGCAATCGACTGCCGCGTTTTGGCCACAAAACATAGAGTCAATTCACTCTACACCGTCGCCTGTGAAGCGCTTTGAGACGTCTCGAAGATGCCAGGATTATTATTATTATTATTATTATTATTATTATACGATAATGCCATACTTAAAATACTATGAAATTCTCTTTTTAGTTAAATTAAGCACATGAAATGAAAAAAAAGTACAATATTTCACCTTTTATTTTTGTACACTTCATGAAGTTCCAAAATTGAACATTATTTACACAATAAACAAAACTTAATTACATTCAAGTCTTAATCGGATTCTGAAGGGCTGACGGCAGACCTTATAGATCGCAGTTTACTGAAATTTGTGTACATGCATTTATGTCAATCTCAGACATCATCTCCTGCTTTCTTAGTGTATTGTATCCCCACATTCAGGTGTAAGGCAAAGCTGCTGTTTCTATAAACACTTGACGTGTACAGGATGTAAAGTCATCTCCGCTGTAATGTGGAAGTGATCAAAGTTACTCACTCTCAACAACACAAAACAAAGCTCATCAGCTTAATGAACGTTAAAACAAACTCGCTTGCGATGGGAGCAAAAATGGCCCCAACAGGACTGAGTGCTGGGCAGAGCCGGGGTGATAGGGGGCAGCTCCAGCTGACCATTCCTCGAGGCTGTTCAAACTCTTCAGCCGGACAGATGGAAGTGGACTTTCCAAAGCTCAGAACAAGTCAGATTGCTGAACAAGTGCAGAGCCATCAGAAGGGCATCCCTCCTGTGACGTGTCTGGCGATCTGCTCGTCCGTCGACTCTTTATCCTTCCCGCGATCCTTGTTCCAGTCCTTGAGACCCTCGGGAAGTGACGTGTCCTCCTCCAGGCTTCCCGTCCCCTCCACAAACTCCTCGTAAGTAGATTTTTCAGCAAATGGCCTCGGTCCCAACAGCTCCAGCAAGTCAGCCTTGTCCAGCACCTCTTTCTCTAACAATCGCACAGCAACCTGCAATCCACAACAGAACACAAACGGAACCCAACTCATGGTTAGGATCAGGGGAAACTCAGTGCATATTATTGTTTGTTTTGTTTTACTGTATATAATAACTGTATTTGATACACAGCAGCCTTATCACGTCGATCGGACACCTCCACACACCTGTTTATTATTATAAATGATTGTGTTTGTGTGTGTGGGGTGGTGTGTGTGAGAGTGGTGTTTGTGTGTGCATGGTGTGTGTGTGTGGGTGTGTGTGTGGTGTGTATATAGGGGGTTAGAATAACATTACGTTGTGACCTTCTGAACATCTGATCTCTTCTCTGTGAGGAGTGGTAGGGTTTGTGTGTGTAGTGTATGGTGTGTATGGTGTCTGTGTGTATGGTGTGTGTGTGTATGATGTGTGTGGTGGGTGTGTATGGTGTGTGTGTGTGTACGGTGTGTGTGTGTACGGTGTGTGTGTGTGGTGTGTGTGGTATCTGTGTGTATGTTGTGTGTGTGTGGTTTGTGTGTGTATAATGTGTGTGTGTGTGTGGTGTCTGTGTGTATGATGTGTGTGGTGTGTGTGTATGGTGTGTGTGTGGTGTGTGTTGTCTGTGTGTATGATGTGTGTGGTGTGTGTGTATGGTGTGTGTGTGGTGTGTGTGTATGGTGTGTGTGGTGTCTGTGCGTATGATGTGTGTATGGTGTGGTGTGTGTTGTATGATGTGTGTGTAGTGTCTGTGCGTATGATGTGCGTATGGTGTGTGTGTGGTGTGTGTGTGTGTGTATGATGTGTGTGGTGTGTGTGTGTGTGGTGTGTGTGGTGTGTGTATGGTGTGTGTGGTGTCTGTGTGTATGATGTGTGTGTGTATGGTGTGTGTGTGGTGTGTGTGTGTGTGTGGTGTGTGTGTGTATGATGTGTGTGGTGTGTGTGTGTGTGGTGTGTGTGGTGTGTGTATGGTGTGTGTGGTGTCTGTGTGTATGATGTGTGTGTGTATGGTGTGTGTGTGGTGTGTGTATAAAGGGGGTTAGAATAACATTATGCTGTGACCTTCTGTACATCTGATCTCTTCTCTGTGAGCAGTGTCAGGGTTTTCTCGTAGGCCATGTTGATGAGTGTTCTAACTTCCTCGTCTATCAGCCGTGCTGTGGCCTCGCTGTACGGCTTCTCTAACGCCATCTCTCCCTGACGAGGGAGATCAAAGGACACCTGGCCCACCTTCTCATTCATGCCAAACTGGACAATCTGCCGAGAGCGGGCAACAGGACAACAGCATTTCATTACCCAACAACAACTGACATTTACGTAGCGCCTTTCACACCGGGGGACATCCCAAAGCGCTGGATTTGGGCTGGGGGGATGGGCGCCTCCACATACATCTGGCTGTTAACCCCATTTCTGTGGTTGACGTCGCCGACTGGGAGCAGAGACATTGATGGGCATCAGCGGAGCAACAACAAACAACAAGAGATGAGATTTATTCAGCACTTTTCACAGACTGAATCACCTGAGCACAAAACCACAACAACAAGATTCCATGTGTACAGGCCCCTCACGTCAGGAGGACGTCCCCAGGCACTGACGGCATTTCATACCCGAGATGAAATGAAGGCACCAAATACCATTTGGCCTTTCACTCTCAGTGAAGGCCGATTCCCAGGTTATGGGCTATGTTGAATGTCCACAAGACCGAAGCCCTCTTGCTTGGCTCCCGTCAGCGCCTCACCTCAGGAGCTGACAGCATCATTATCCACCTCGCTGAGCCAGTCCGCAAACCTGGTCGTCTTGTTTGACTCTCAACTATCTTTTAAACCTCACACCTGTGCCATAATCCATTCTGCCTTCCCCATCTCTGCAATGTCGCCACTATCTCTCCACTCAGGCTGAGGAAACCCTTATCCACATGTTCATTACATCCTGGCTCGACTCTGCTAACTCCCGGCTCACCAGAGTTCCCAATGCTTCGCCCAGGCTCGCCCGGCTTCACTGGCTCCCGTCCCCCAGAGGATTGAGTTCAAGATCCTCGTCCTCACTCCATGGCCTTGCTCTTCCCTACCTCTGTGACCTGCTAAACCCGTCTGCGGCCTGCACTCGGCAGGCATTGCCCAGCTCCACATCCCCAGCCCTGCCCGCTCCACCACCATCGGTCAGGCCTTCAGCTTCTCTGCTCCATCCTGGAGCCCCTCCGCCTCACCCCCTCCCTTACATAATGTAAGTTAAGTGTACAATGGAATAAGGCAAATCACAACAACAACAACTTACACTTGGATAGCGCCTTTCACATTAAAACAGATATAATCAAAATGAAGGGACGGACCTGTGCGTATGCGCTCTGCGTAACCTTCTTCAAGTCGTCGTGAGCTCCGGTGGTTATTTTGCCAAAAAAGATTTGTTCTGAGACGCGTCCGCCCAGTGTCATACACATGCGATCAAGAAGCTGCTCTTTGGTGTAGAGATACTGCTCTTTAGGCAGGTACTGAGCATATCCCAGGCCTTTCCCACGAGGGATGATGGAGACCTGACGCAAAGCAACAAGCTCTCAGATTGCTGAACAGCTCGGGTCCAAGCCCAGTGAGTAATAATAATCCTTCATTTGATCAAGCGCCTGATCACATCATCGAGACGTCTCTAAGCGCTTCACAGTAAAGTGAGTAAAGTGTAAAGTGAGTTGAATATTGTGGGTGAAACGCGGCAGTCGATGATGCACAGCAATGAGGGTCCCGCAAACAGGCGTGGACTGAGTGACCAAATTATTATTTATTGATTTATTTATGTTTGATGATATTATCCGCCGGAAAGCGATCCGCCCATCGACTAACAACCAGGTTCCTACTGACTGCTGGTAAACAGAGGCGTGTGTGAGGAGTAAGGAAACTTGCCTAAAGTTATGCCCTGCCCAGGATTTGAACCCAGCTTGCGAGGCGAGTGCACTAACCACTACACTACGAGACTCCAATAGTATTGTGGGATCTTTAAACGTCCACCTGAACAGGCAGACGGGACATCAGGTTAACGTTTCATCTGAAAGACAGCGTTGTCTCTCTCGGTGCTTTCAAACCTAGGCCATGATTAATGGTTGGGAGAAGGTGTTGCCAACTGAGCCGAGCTGAGCCCCAAGGACTGGATCAGGTTCCTGTGTTCAACAGCAACAATAAATTACAGCTGTAACACCGACTTCCACGTCAGGACGGCCAATGCGCTGGAATCCTAGCATTTAATATCGCGCCTGATGTCGTTCAGACGTCCCAAAGCGCTTCACAGAAGCCATTTTATGGGTGAAACACAGCAGCCAATGGTGCACAGTGTCCCTCCCCACAGTGGTGCACAGTGTTCCCCCCCCCCCCCCACAATGGTGGACTGAAGTGATTGACAGGCTGACCTTTAGCAGGGGGTCTGCATGCTCGAGGTACCAGCCGGACACTGCGTGTCCAGCCTCGTGATAAGCCACTGTCTTCTTCTCTCCCGGCTGCAGGATCTGAGTTTTCTTCTCCAGCCCTGGATTAAGGAGGAAGTGAGGATGGAGGGTAAGTAATGAAGTACGGGAGTTAACAACACAACTTGCATTTCTCTGGCGCCCCTCACGCAGGGCAGTGTCACAGAGCACTGGTGGAGCTTGAGGTCAACAGCCACAACAACATGATTACATTTATAGAGCACCTTTCACGTCAGGAGGAAGTCCCAAGGCGTTGGACAGTTGGGTTGGGACCCCAGCAGGGGGGATAATGGTCAGGGTGAGGGGAGGGAGCGAGGAGGGGGTAGAGAGTCGAGAGGGGAGCTGAAGGCACGGTCGAAGAGGAAGGTCTGAAGACGGAAGGAGGGGGCCAGGAGGAGAGATTGAGGGAGAGAGTTCCAGAGTTTCGGGGTGTAGTGGCTGAAAGCAAAATAAATAAGCTCAAACCCACTTTAGAAAAATAACTTTCCACGCTACAAACTCCCCCCAAAATGAAATAATAATAATCCTGGGATTTGATCACCTTATCACATTGTCAAGATGTCTCAAAGCTCTTCACAGGATATATGGTAAAGTGTAGTGACATGTATTTTGAGGGCCAAAATACAGCCAATTGCGCACAGCGATGTCCCCACAAACAGTCGTGGATTGAGTGACCAAATGTTTTCATTTTGTTTAAACTATGGAGGGATTATTACCCCCGGAGAGCGATCCACCGATCAACTAACAACCGGGTTTCTACTCACTACAGGATAAACAGAGGCACGTGTTGCCTACAGTTTCGCCCTGCCCGGGAATTAAACCCAGGTTCTCTGGCTTGTGAGGCAAGCGCTCTAACCACTGAGCTACACGACTCCACAATAAAACATCGGTATTCATAGCTTATTCACAATAAAACATTGGTATTCTTACCTCCAATTACCCGCTCAATAGCCTGTTCAAAATGTTTCTGTATAATGGAATCACAAAGGTGCCTGGCAGCAATTAAAGCAGCTTCGTTGCATACATTTGCAATGTCAGCTCCTGCAGAGGGGAAACACACATGAGAAGGTTGAGGAGAGGATTAAAATATGCTTCACTTCCAACAACTGTGTTCCCAGGCTAACAGCGCAAAGTCCATGTCCATTGGCAGAGACTCCTCTGTGTTTAATCAAGAGACAAACCGCAGCAACCATGACAGCCAGATATTACACTTTAAACCTTTTGAAGACAAGGATCCATTTGCTTGTCTGGAGGAATCTCACGTGACTTTGTCTGACAAATTTGTCAAGACATCTCTACTGAGACACGTCGCTCAATTCAGTGCTTCACTACCACAAGCAATCAAAAACTGTCTCCTCATGTCCTTCCCAATCTGAACTCCTTAGTTCCTACACTGCCTCAGTTGGGCTCCAGTTTTTTTTTAGTGGGGTGGGGGGGTCAGCCAGGTGTCTGACACGTGTGGAAACCCATCATCTGCTTAAGAGTCTCCAAACCCAACTGAGATTCCCCACATTGCCCCCACACCTGGAAATCCCAGAGAGAGATCGTTGGAATGGAATGCGCTCTCTCTCTCTCCCCCCCTGGAGGGACACATCCTGTTTACCTAATTCCGGAGAGTATTAGGCGCAGGTTGGCAAGAGCCAAGGTTTGGGGGGCCAGAGTGTGTGTTGGGGTAACTGCTGGAGTGTAACCCGCTAAACCCACACAGCTCGGCCATTGATATCACTGTCTGGTAGCTTTCCCACTGCTTGTCCAGCGAGGACCCCCCTCCCCATTAGGGCTTTGGCTGCAGAGTTAACAGGAGCTGAGGGGGAGGATTCCCTGCCCCCAGTGACTGGTCGGCCCTTCCAGCACCCTCTGGCATTCTATCTCACAGTTCATCCCGCTCACTCCCTCCCTTGCCTCCTTCAAGGCCCGTCTCAAGACCCTCCTCTTTGACCAGGCCTTTGGTCATCTTCCCATCTCCACCCCTGCTGCCTTCCACCTATCTTGACTCCAGCTCACAGCTTGGGTGAAAATCCTTGTCTGTTCAGTGCCTTGGGATGTCCTCCCGACGTGAAAGGCGCTGTGTAAATGTAATGGCTATGGAGGGCTTTGAAATCAAGGACAAGGATTTGGGATTCTATCCTCTGGGTGATGGGGAGTCAGTGGAGCTGATCATCCATGAAAAAACAATTCCCTAATTGACTAATAACTAGGTTCCTACTTATTGCTGAGTAAACAGAGGCGTGTGAAGTAAGGAAACTTGCCCAACATTTTGCCCTGCCCGGGAATCAAACCTGGGTCCTCTCGCTTGTGCAGCGAGTGCTCTAACCACTGAGCTACAGCTTGTTAACTTCAACACAGGCACAAAACTTGGCATTTGTTTATATAAAAATAAAAGATAATTATAGTGGTTGTTATACGTGGGGCACAGGACCACACAATTATAACCTTGTGACCTGGCTGTTTATACCATGTACAGTATAGACATTCTGCAATCCATCCAACAAAACACGTCTTGCTGGCAAGTTTACCTTCAGTTTTATTTCCATATTAAACAATTGTATGGTGACGTACAAATCTTATTCATAAAACGCCTCAGAGCTCTGACAGCAAAAGAAAATGTACACAGTGACTCTGTCCTACACTTATAACAATCCTTACGTGTGATATAGCACCTCATCATGTCGTCGAGACATTTCAAAGCGCTTTACAGGATACAATGTGATTGACTGTGTATTTTGTCACTGAATCATCTGAAGCTTGTAGAGGAAGGGTTGGGGAGGCCGACAAGCAGGGACGCAGTGTAGTTGAGCCTGAATGTGATTCTATAGTTGATAATCGTTGATTGATACAGTGCAATATCATGTCTTCGAGACGTCTCAAAGCGCTTCACAAGATTTACTGTAAAGTGTAGTGATTGTATATTTTTTGGCCAAAACACGGCTGCCAATTGCACACAGCAGTGCCCCACACACAGCCGTGGGGCGAGTGGGCAATATTATTTGGGGGATTGTTGTCCAGGACACCGGGAGAGAGAGAGAAACTCCCTTCTCTTTTCCAATAGCCCCGCGGGATCTTTACCATCCACCTGAGCTATTATAACAACTGGGATCTTGATGGTGATGACAAGAATAACTTACTTACATATATACAGAGTCTTTCACGTCGGGGTGGGGAGATGATCAAAAGAGCGGTCAAAGAGAAGGACCTTGAACCAGGTGAAGGAGGGAGGGAGCCAGTCGGAGGGTTTCAGGGATGGAGTTTCAGAGAGTGGGGGCAGATAAACAGAAAGCCAGGCCACCAACATGACAAAGATAGGCAGGAGGAGAATGTACAACACTTCAGCCTGACGAGTTTATCCAGTGTTTGGGCTGCCTTGGAGAGTTCTCCGGGCTGGTGTATTTAATATAATAATAATAATCCCTGCATCTGATACAGTGCCTTATCACAATGTCAAGACATCTCACAGGATATACTGTAAAGTGAATTAATTTTGTATTTTGTGGGTGAAACCCGGCAGCCAATGGTGCACAATCAGTCGTGGATTGAGTGGTCAGGTTATTATTATTTTTTTAAGACTATATTATTGCTGGAAAGCAACTAACAACCGGGTTCCTACTCACTACTGGTAAACTGAGGTGCGTAGAGTAAGGTTTCACCCCCTGCCCGGGAATCAAACGCGGGTCCTCTCTAACCACTGAGCTACAGGACTCCACTACTAGAATGAAAGAGTGAAATCAAACAACCATAATTTCTTCAATTTTTAGTGAATATGTTTAGCAAATGATCCACAAACTGAAATAAGCGCCATTGTACATGGAGGATGAACAGAACTTAAAGTTATATCAACACCAGGGGGAATATCTTTATGTTTTGACTATTTTCACTGCATCTTGCTTTTGACAGAACCACAGACACTTACATACCTGTAAAGCCAGGAGTCAAAGCTGCCATTTTTCTTGCCAAATTATCCTTTTTAATAGAGGTTTCCAATCTCAAGGGTCTGAGGTGAACTTTAAAAATAGACGCTCTTCCTTTAATGTCAGGTGGCCCTGTATAAAAAGGGGTGAAATTAAAATGTTATGCAGTAAAACTCACAAGTCATATCAGTCGGGACCATAACATTTCATATGATTTATGCAAAGTCCAAGTTGCAGGCAAACTGCACAAGTCGTAGAAAATCTGATTCAAGCATTAATCTACACTGCGCTTGTGCAATTCACTGCAGCTGGTAAGTGCTCATGAGGTCACGGTTTAAGTCTACATTTCTACATTCTCAAATTTAAAAATTTCTAAGTGCTTCACACAATAGACTGTAAAGTGAATTGACTGTATACTTTGTGGGCAAAACGCGCAGCCAATTGCACACAGCAGAGTGCGTACGTCTATCTGTCTATCTATCCATCTATCTATGTGATTATTACCCAACGGAAAGTGATCCGCCAATCGACTAACTGGATTCTTACTTTCTGCTGGTGAACAGAGGAGTGTGGAGTAATAAACTTGCCTAAGGAGTTACCCTGCCAGGAATCGAACTGGATCCTTTCGTTTGCGAGGCGAGCGCTCTGAGCAATACCATTAATCATTACTCTGTGACTCCAAACGTTTTAAACAATATAAAAACACATGACCGAGAAGGAAGCCTTGTGGTGCAGTTATTTGGGTGAATGGTTAGGCCAGCAGGGGCTCTGTTGTAGTTATTTCCTATTCCCTCCCCTAGAAGACACCGACCCCGGATTAATTTACCAATGAAAATCTGTCTGTCAAAGCGCCCAGGCCTCAGCAGCGCAGGATCCAGGATATCTGGTCTGTTGGTGCCAGCCAAGACCACCACGTTTGTTGCAGTGTTGAATCCTGCAACAACAATAGAAAATTTAAACAAAAGGCAAAACACTTCAGATGCTGGAAATCTGAAATAAACACAGAAGTCACTGGGAACACGCAGCAGGTCAGGCAACATCTGTGGAGAGAGGAAAGTGAGTTAACGTAACCAGTTCTGATGAAAGGTCATCGACCTGAAATGTTAATTTGTTATAGAGAATGTAATACTAGGACTTGACTAAATCTTACAGTAACTCCCAGAGTCACAGGGCTGTGTGCCTCATTGCTTTCCAGCGCTATCATTAGGATTGCACTATGAACATAAGAGACTGGGAAGCGTTGGAATCTCCACTGAATCCTGCAGATCTGCTGCTCAAATACTTTATTTCCATATTTGTCTACTGTTACTTCAATGATCAGATGGATGAGGAATTGTTACTGTTTCACACAATCTAACCAGTTCGTGTTTAAAGCCATCTGTTTGGATAATAATAATCTCGGCATTTGATACAGCGCCTTATCAAGTCTTCGAGACATCTCAAAGCGCTTCACAGGATATACTGTGAAGTGAATTGACTGTATATTTTGTGGGCAATTACCACAAACAAGTCGTGCTTTGAGTGATTAAATTATTATTATTATCTATTTATTTTGAAGGGATCATTAACCCTGGAAAAGTGATCCGCTAATTGACTAACAACTAGGTCCCTACTCACTGCTGGTAAACAGAGGGGTGTGGGATAAGGAAACGTGCTTAAGGTTACGCGCTGCCTGGGAATTGAACCCAGGTTCTCTCATTTGTGAGGGGAATGCTGTAACCCCTGAGCTACAGGACTGCACTCCAAAATCTAAAGATGTCAAACAGATTTTAATGAAATGCAAAGCTCAGGCACATCAAATCAAATAATATTGCCAGGTTTTCTACTTCTAGCAATAAACTAATGTGGGTGATGGATTCGTGGGAGCCCGGTGCGAGAGAGGAGGTAATAATAATAATAATAATAATCCTGGTCAACAGAACGTGTGCTAAATTCTTGACTGGGTTCCATTTGTGAGGGTATTGCTTTTGATCTGCCAAACATACCACAATAAATATTCTGGCTGGCTGCCTCATTGAGTTACCATGACAGAGGCAGAGGCAGCCTTGATTGCAGATAGAAAGTCACTGGAGACTTTCGACGAGGGTAAAAGCTGGATTGAAAGCTAGCTGTGTGCAGTGTGAAATTCTCTCCAGAAATAACATTCTTGTTGCTGTGGCTCCTGAGGCATGTATCGCCACACCCTGATAGCTGGATTACTATACACAATAATAGCTCATTTGCCAAAGTCATGACTAGTTACTGCAGGATTCTTACCGTCCATCTCCACCAGCAGCTGATTGAGTGTGTTCTCCTGCTCGCTCTGCCCTCCAAAATTACCCCGGCCCCTTTTCCTTCCAACCGCATCAATCTCGTCGATGAAAAGGATGCAAGGAGCGTTTTTACGAGCCATTACAAACAAGTCACGGACCTAGAGAGAGAGAAAGAGAGAGAGAGAGAGACAGAGACAGACAGACAGACAGACAGACAGACAGACAGACACAGACAGACAGAGAGAGAGAGAGAGCAAGCGTTACATTAGAGGTGCACAAAGTTTACATTTATTGAAGTTATTACATTTAGAGTTCAAAACTCTCACCGTCGCCTATAAAGCCCTCCACGGCCTCGCTCCTCCCGACCTCTGTGACCTGCTGACCCCATATGTCCGCTCCTTCCGCTCAGCGGGCTCCGGCCTGCTCCACTTCCCCCGTTCGACCTGACCCTCCATCAGACTCTCCACAGTTTGGAACTCCGTTCCACAGTCCCTTCGCCTCACCCCCTCCCTTGCCTCCTCCAGCAGTTACCCCAACACACACCCTGGACTCCGCCCAAGCCTTGGCTCTCGCCAACCTGCGCCTAATACTCTCCGGAATTAGGTAAACAGGATGTGTCTCTCCAGTGAGAGAGAGAGAGAGAGAGTGCATTCCATTCCAACAATCTCTCTCTGGGATTTCCATGTGTGGGGGCAATGTGGGGAATTCTCAGTTGGGTTTGGAGACTGTTGAGCAGGTGACGGGTTTCCGTGGGTGTCAGACACCCGGCTGGTCACGGTGACGGGTTTCCTGTGTGTCAGACACCCGGCTGATCACGGTGACGGGTTTCCGTGGGTGTCAGACACCCGACTGGTCACGGTGACGGGTTTCCGTGTGTGTCAGACACCCGGCTGGTCACGGTGACGGGTTTCCGTGTGTGTCAGACACCCGGCTGGTCACGGTGACGGGTTTCCGTGGGTGTCAGACCCCCGACTGGTCACGGTGACGGGTTTCCGTGGGTGTCAGACACCCGGCTGGTCACAGTGACGGGTTTCCGTGGGTGTCAGACACCCGGCTGGTCACGGTGACGGGTTTCCGTGGGTGTCAGACACCCGGCTGGTCACGGTGACGGGTTTCTGTGGGTGTCAGACACCCGGCTGGTCACGGTGACGGGTTTCCGTGTGTGTCAGACACCCGGCCGGTCACGGTGACGGGTTTCCGTGTGTGTCAAGACACTCAGTTGGGCAAACCAAAATGGAGCCCAGCTTATGCGATGTAGGAACTAACATAGTGTGGAACAGAAGCTTACCCTTGCGGGACCCACTCCAACAAACATCTCCAAAAATTCAGAGCCATTGACGGTGATGAAAGGAACGTTAGCCTCTCCTGCCGTCGCTTTTGCTAGCAAGGTCTTCCCAGTGCCTGGAGGACCCGTGAGAATAGCTCCCTGTAAAAATAATACCCAGACTTTTTCAGAATGTAGAGATACATTAGTGAGTAAATAAAAACAAACTGCATTTATATTATATTCATTATATTTATATAATTGGCTACTGCGTTTCACCCATAAAATAAGTCAATCCAGTTTACAATGTATCCTGTGAAGCGCTTTGAGACGTCTCAAAGACATGATAAGAAGCTATATCAAATGCAAGGATTATTATTATTATTAATTATTAGTAGTGTACAGCTCCTTCCATATCGGGAGGACTTTCACAGCTTGCCCCTGCAGCCAGGCGGGGTGAGGTGGGATAATCACCAAAGGCTTGGTCAAAGGAAAAGGTCTTGAGACGACCTTGACGGAGGGGGCGAGACTCCAGGATGGAGTTTCAGAGAGTTGGTGTAGAAAAGCTGAAGGCCTGACCGCCGATAGTGGGGCAGGGGATGTGGAGCAGGCCGGAGCATGCTGAGCGGAGGGAGTGGACAGGTTGATATGGGGCTAGTAGGTCATAGAGGTAGGGAGAATTGAGGCCAGGGATGGCCTTGAAAGTGAGGACAAGGAGTTTGAATTCTATCCTCTGAGGGATGGAGAGCCTGTGGAGCCGGGAGAGGGTGGGGGTGATGGGGTCACGGAGCCTGGTGCGGGAGAGGACACGAGCTGCAGAATTCTGGATGATCTGCAGCTTGTGGAGGGAAGAGTTGGGGAGCTGACAAGTGGGGAGTTGGAATGATAATGTGCCCGGATGTGATAATGGGATAAGATTGTAAAAATAAGAAAGTAAACGCAACAAAGTGAAACCCTGAATAGTAATAATTTGCTTCACCTGGACGTTAGAACAAGCAAAACACTATATAAGGCAGCTTGATCCATATCGATCTGATGTTACAGTAGTTATCTGTGAACACAACAGAAGCACTGACAAACCACGCCAATCTGCACTGTTTATCGCGCTTCCAAAACATTTCACCTTCTCATTGGTGAGCTGCGGCTGAAGTGAAACATTCAAACAAAAAAACTCCGGGCTATTCCAGTTGGCCCTTATGTACAGAGATAATTAGTTGGACACATCCTTTACACAGAAGAGATAATTTCTTTCATAGTTAAAACAGTAATAATAATAATAAACCTTGCATTCGGAAAAGCGCCTTTCATGTCACCGAGACATTATTATTTTTTATGTGGGGGAGGGATTATTACCTCTGGAAAGTGATCCGTCAATCGACTAATAACAGGGTTCCTATTTACTGCTGGTAAACAGTCATGTGGAGAAAGGAAACTTGCCTAGGGTTTCGCCCTGACCGAGAATTGAACCCAGATCCTCTCACTTGCGAGGCGAGGGCTCTAACCACTACACTATGGGGACTCCACATTACCACAAAGTTAGAATTGAACCCAGGAAATCACAGCTGACCTTTGGGATTTTTGCTCCCAGTTCTTGATACTGCTTTGGATTTTTGAGAAAGTTGACGAATTCCATGATTTCCAGCTTGGCTTCCTCACATCCAGCCACATCCTTGAACTTCACATCAATCTCGTCCTTCAGGACCTTGGCTGTGGTCTCTCCTACGCTGAACAGCCCCCCCATGCCCCGACCTGATCGCCCGACTCCCGCTGATCCCCTCCGCAGCGTCAGCAGCAGGAACCCAATGATCAGGATAGTTGGCAGCATGCTCAGCAGGAACGAGCTGGGGCAGAAACACTTCAAATCAACAACAACAACAGATTACATCTATACAGCCTTTCACGTCAGGAGGATGTCACAAGGGCTGGACAATGAAAAGTTTGCACCCAAGCTGTGGGTTGAGATCAGAGAGGGCTGGAGGGCCGGCTGGGGGATGGAGGTGGAGGGCGGGGAGGGAGGTGGAGGGTGGAGGGCCGGCCGGGGGGTGGAGGGCGGGGCGAGGGTGGAGGGGGGAAGATGACCGATGGCACGGTCAAAAAGGAGGGTCTTCAAATGGTCCTTGAAGGAGGCAAGAGAGGGAGAGGGGCTTCGGGATGGAGTTTCGGAGGGTGAGAACAGAGAGGCTAAAGGCCCACCCCCCGATGGTGGAACAGGCAGGGGAGTGGACGTGGTGTGGGTCAGAGTCTGTAGAGCTGAGGGAGTACGTAGGTTAGTGAGGTTTAATAGATCGCAGAGATAAGGAAGAGCAAGGCCATGGAGGGCTTTGAAGGAGAGGACAAGGATTTTGAACTGTATCCTCTGAGGGATGGGGAGCTGGGGGGGGGATGGAGGGCCGGGCAGTGGGAGAGGGGTGTGAAGGAGGGTGGAGGGATGGGGAGCTGGGCAAGGATAGGGGTGATCGGTTCACAAAGCTTTGTGCAGAATGTAAAAGATTTTTCAAATTTACTGTATTAATAGCAAACAATTTATTAATCTAGATTTATTATAAAAAGGCTAACTTAAAAAAACTTAAACAGGGAAAAAGTCAAAAGGTTTGGTGGACCCCGGATTTAATAATAATCCTTGCATTTGAAATAGCGCCTTATCACATTGTTGAGACATCACAAAGCGCTTCACAGGATACACTGTAAAGTATATTTGGTGTGTGTAGACTGACTGTATTTTGTGGGCAAAATGTGTCAGCCAATTGCACACAGCAGCATCCCCACAAACAGCCATGGAGCGAGTGGGCAATATTATTTGGGGGATTGTTGTCCAGGACACCGGGAGAGAGAAACTCCCTTCTCTTTTCTAATAGCCCCGCGGGATCTTTACCATCCGCCTGAACAGGCAGACGGGACCTCGGTTTAACGTCTCATCCAAAGGACATTTGGTTAGGATTCGGTTTACAAGATTGCCATCTGGTGTTCATATTCGCAGAATTAAAAATCATGACAGATTACATTACAAAAAGAGGCCATTTAGACTGTCAGGTCCAGGCTGGAGCTAGCTCTCCCACTGGAACCATTCTCTTGAATCCCATTCCCCATATCCTTTCCATTGGGATTCCCGAAGAGAATTAGCATCTTGCAAGTGAGAGGACCTGGGTTTGATTCCTGGCAGGGCAAAATCTTAGGCAAGTTTCCTTACGCCATGCGCCTCTGTTTACCAGCAGTCAGTAGTAACCCAGTTGTTAGTCGATTGGTGGATCAATTTCCGGGGGTAATAATCCTTTCCCCAAAAAATTTGGTCACCCAATCCACAACTGTTTGTGGGACTCTACTTTGCACAATTGGCTGCTGTGTTTTGCCAACAAAATACACAGTCAATTCCCTTTACAGTATATTCTGTGAAGCGCTTTGAGACGTCTCAACAATGTGATAAGGCGCTGTATCAAATACAAGGATTGTTATTATATTTTTATTCAATTCCCATTTAATTGCTGCTCGCTAGACTCAGGATTTTGCATCCATTTATGGTGAAGCACAGCATTTTCTAACAATGTTTTGAAAAAACATTTCCAATCAGAAGTGGTTTCTTTTTATCTATCATATCAAATCACCCCCCACAGGAGAGTTCAAAATCCTCGTCCTCGCCTGCAAGACTCTCCACAGCTTTACTCCTTCCTACCTCTGTGACCTGCTGATCCCATACCAACCTGTGTAAATGTCATGTGTTATTGTCTAATTTGCACTGCACCCACTGGATAGGATGGATTTCTTTTGTATGATTGAATGCTCAAAACTGGACACAAAACTTCTGACATTGATGTAACCAACATCTCGTACAAATTCAACGTTACCCCCTGGTTGTACTTAATTTCCCCCACTACTGGTTTATTCTCCAGCAGCTCAGCCCACACACACACACAAAGACATCCCTTACCCATCGCTCTCCGTAGAATACACCACAGGAATCCGACTTTCCCCCTCGATGCCCAGCTCCAGCTGCGCAGTCTCCAGATTCCGCTCAAATGTATCCACGCTGCCAATATTAAACCACACATACTGCTGTGAAGAGAAGCGATAATAATAATCATCCTTGCATTTGATATGCTGTTTTATTATGTCATCAAAACATCTCAAAGTGCTTCACAGGATATATGGTAAAGTAGACTGACTGTGTGTTTTGTGGGCAAAATGTGTCAGCCAATTGCACACAGCAGTGCCCACACACAGCCGTGGGGCGAGTGGGCAATATTATTTGGGGGATTGTTGTCCAGGACACCGGGAGAGAGAGAGAAACTCCCTTCTCTTTTCCAATAGCCCCGCGGGATCTTTACCATCCACCTGAACAGGCAGACGGGACCTCGGGTTACCGTCTCCTCCCAAGGACGGCACCTCCCACAGTGCCCCCCACACCCCCCCCACAGTGCCCCCCCTCCCCCCAGCGCTGTATTGGAGCATCAGCTTAGACTGTGTGATTCCAAGTCCTGACGTGGGACTTGAACCCACAACCTCCTGAGTGGAGTCCTATAGCTGTAGCTCAGAGTCCTGTAGTGGTTAGAGCACTCGCTTTGCAAGCGAGACACCTGGGTTCAATTCCAGGCAGGTCAGGGTGAAACCTTGGGAAAATTTCCTTACTCCACACAGAGCCTAATAATAATCCCTCCAAAACCAAAAACAATAATAAATTGGTCATTTTCAACCCATGACTGTTTGTGGGACACTCCTGTGCGCAATTGGCTGCCGCGTTCGCCCACAAATATACAGTCAATTCACTTTACAGCATATTCTGTGAAGCGCTTTGAGATGTCTCGAAGACTTGAAAAGCGCTATATCAAATGCAAGGATTATTATTATTGTTATTATTATTCTTTAGTGAGAGAGAGGGAGAGAGAGGGGGGGGTGGGGGAGAGAGCGAGAGCGAGAGCGCTACCATTGAGCCAGGTTGAAACACAAACCATTACCTCGGAAAGCGATCTGCCAATCGACTAATAATCGGGTTCCTATTTACTGCTAGAGTAAACAGGCAAGTTTCCTTACTCTAAATGCCTCTAAGGTTCGCCCCACCCAGGAGTCAAACTTGCGTCCTCGCTCGCGAGATGAGCACTCCAACCACTACACTACAGGACTCCTATAATTTTTGAACATTTTGTAAACACTTACCCCATCCAAGGGTGACTTTCCAGGGGCAAACACCACTCTCACATATCGCTTGTTCACGACTTCCAGCCTGTCCACCTATCAAAACATATATGGCATGGAAATGAGAAGCCCAAGTGGAAGATGTTAGCCCAATGCTCATCTCTGAACAATTTGAACTGAACCCATTAATAATATTCTGTTAGCTGCTAAACATATTAATAATCCAAATTCACATCTGCATTTGGATCCCAGGAGTTTAACCTTTCAGAAATCTCCTGCGAGATTAGGACATAGTTAAATTCTCTCAGTAAATTTAAAATGTATCTTTTACTACATTCTCACAAATTCTCAAACACTTGACTCCCTTTGGGAAGCGATGTGAGGGGGGGCTTCCTGCACGCTCTCAGTGTGCAAGCACAGGGAGGAAGGCAGTGCTGACCTGACAACTCAGAAGTCGCCATTTTAGGTGTATGAAGCAGACAGCACCTCCTGTAACCTCGGGGACACAGGATGTCTGTATTATAAACTCATTATTACTCATGAACAAAGACAAAGTACAGTCAAGGGTGAAAATGCTTGACTGGAAAAGGGCTAATTTTGATGGGCTAAAGAGGGACCGAGAGTTGGTGGACTGGCAAGTAAGAATGGCAGGTAACACGACTCATGAGCAATGGGAAATCTTCAAAGATACAATAGCTCAGGGTCTAAATAGACATATTCCCACAAAAGGGAAATGTGCGAGAACCAAGCCCGGCTGGATGGCCAGGGATATTCTGTCTAGGATGAAAAAGAAGAAAATGGCGTACAACAATTGGCGGATGCAAGACACTGAGGATAGCAAAGCGCATTATAGAGAATGCAGGAGTGACCTTAAAAGAGCGATAAGACAGACATGAGAAGAGGTTAGCGGGTAACATAACGGGGAATCCTAAAATATTTTATAAGCACATAAAGGAAAAAAGGTTAGTTAAAGGTAGGGTGGGGCCAATCAAAGGCAATGACGGCCATCTTGTTGTGGAGGCAGAGGGATGGCTGATGTACTGAACGAGTACTTTGCATCTGTCTTCACAACGGAAACGGATGCCCCAAATGCCGCAGTATTGGATGAGAGGGCAGAGGACATAGATCAGATTACTATAGACAGAGAGGAAGTTCTGAAAAGATTGACTGGGCTCAAAATTGATAAGTCACCAGGACCAGATGGGTTTCACCCAAGGTTGCTGTGGGAGATACGGGTTCAAATAGCGGAGGCTTTGGCCATTATATTTCAATCGTCATTGGACACAGGAGTGGTGCCAAGAGACTGGAGAGTGGCTAATGTTACCCCACTCTACAAAAAGGGGCAGAAAGACAAGCCCGGAAATTACAGGCCAGTCAGCCTAACTTCGGTAATAGGAAAACTACTGGAGACCATAATCCGGGACAGAATAAATCTCTACTTAGAGGAACACGAGGTAATTAGAGACCCAACATGGATTTGTTAAAGGCAAATCTTGCCTAACAAATCTAATAGAATTTTTTGAAGAGGTGACTGCGAGGGTTGATGAGGGAAATGCGGTGGACATTATTTACATGGATTTTAAAAAGGCTTTTGACACAGTACCGCATAAGAGGTTAATAAAAAAACTGGAGGCCCACAGTATTAAGGGGACAGTAGCCGTTTGGATTAGGAACTGACTGAGTGACAGAAAGCAGAGGGTGGTGGTTAATGGGTGTTTCTCGCAATGGAAGGAGGTGTGCAGCGGTGTCCCCCAGGGATCGGTATTGGGACCACTGCTCTTTCTAATATATATTAATGATCTGGACTTGGGCATAGGGAGCACTATTTCCAAGTTTGCAGATGATACCAAGTTAGGTCGGGTAGTAAATAGTGAAGAAGATTGTGATGGACTGCAGACAGACATACACAGAATGGTGGAATGGGCTGACATGTGGCAGATGGGTTTCAATGTGGATAAGTGTGAGGTGATACACTTAGGTAGGAAGAATGATAGGAGGCAATATAGACTTGGAGCTCAATCTTAAGGGGGTGAACGTACAGAGAGATCTGGGTGTTCAAGTAAGCGAATCATTAAAGGTATCGGGACAGGTAGATAGGGCAGTAAAAAGGCATTTGGTGTACTGAGCTTTATTAGTAGGGCATAGAGTATAAGAGTAGGGGTTATGGTTAATCTGTACAAAACACTGGTTAGGCCTCAGCTGGAGTACTGCGTCCAGTTCTGGGCACATTACCTCAGGAAGGACATTAAGGCACTGGAAAGGGTGCAGAGGAGATTCACGAGAATGATACCAGGAATGGGGAACCTTAGCTATGAGGACAGTGGAGAAGTTAGGACTTTTCCCATTAGAGCAGAGAAGGTTACGCGGGGACCTGATAGAGGTCTTCAAGATCATGAAAGGTTTCGACAGGCGAGATAGGGAAAGCTGTTTCCGCTGGTAGGTGTGTCTGTGACCCGCGGTCACAGTCTGAAGATATCACCAAAAGAAGCAGAGGGGAGGTTAGAAGAAATGTTTTCACTCAGCGAGTTGTTGGGATTTGGAATGATCCGCCCGAAAGGGCAGTGACGTCCGATTCCATAACAGCTTTTAAGAGAGAACTGGACAGGTATCGGGGAAGACGGGTTTGTGGGGTTATGGGGAGAAAGCTGGTGATTGGGGTTAATAAAAGTCAGTTGCTCTGCCAAAGAGCCGCACAGACTCGATGGGCCGAATGGCCTCCTGTACCGTAACATTCTATGATTCTATGATGAACAAACCCGGCTCTAGCTCCACGTTTAAACCCCAAATCTATCCGCTCTGTCCATACTGACCTCGCAGCTCAGTGGGCTTCGGCCTGCTCCACAGTGGCTTCAGCCTCTCTGCCCCCTCTGCCTCGCCTCTTGCAAGACCTGTCTCAAGACCCTTCTCTTCAACTGAGCCTTCGGTCACCCTCATACCCCCATCCTCCCTGCCCTCCACCCTCCTGATCCCAACCCCCAGCTCGGGTCCAAATCCCAGACTGCCCATCGCCTTGGGACGTGCCCCTGATATGAGCAGCAGGCGCTGTGGAAATGTCATCTGTTGTTATTCCTCTTATTCACAACTAGCTACTGTACTTTGATTTCTCTCTGGGACAAAAGCTGCTCTACTAAGTGTTAAAGAGAAAGGTTAATCCACTCAGTGGCTTTGTTCAGAGACAAAAAGAGGGCAGATTTATTACACAACGCTGCCTCCAGCTGCCAATAAACTGCAAGGTACAAATTAGCACAAACAACAGCCACTTCCGAGGAAGCTCACCAACCGCTGCCATTACAGGCAAACTGAAAACCTGCACAATAAACCAACAGAGCAACTGGAGACCCCAATCTCTGCCACTGACTTGCTCTCACTATTCCCTCAGCACCAGCTGATGGAGGTAAACGTTTTATAATGCAAAAAAAAAACTCAGTGCAATATGCGTTCACCCAACAACAACAACATTACATTTGTATAGCGCCTTTCACGTCGGGAGGATGTCTCAAGGTGCTGGACAGAGTACAGTATTTCAGACTCGAGCTGGGGTCAGAGGGAGAAGGGAGGGGAGGGGAAGGGGGGTGGCCGATGGCAATATATTTTTTAAAAGAAAATCATAGAATCCTACATCACAGAAGGAGGCCATTCAGCCCATCGTGCCTGTGTCATAGGGAACATTTTTAGGATTAAATAAACCTAATAAGAAACGTACCAAACTGGAGGTAATGTTTTGATTAGATACTTTAGTATTACTAGATATTGTTGACTGATATATGGCAATATAAGCTGATGGTGGAAACCCGTCACTGTTGCTTAACAGTCTCCAAACCAAACCGAGATTTCCATGCATCCCAACTACACATGGAAATCCCACACATAGGTTGTTGGAATAGAATGCGCTCTCTCTCTCTCTCTCTGGAGGGACACCCCCTGTTTACCTAATTCCGGAGAGTATTAGGCGCAGGTTGGTGAGAGCCAAGGTTTGGGGGGGCCCCAGAATGTGTGTTGGGGTAACTGCTGGAGTGTAACCCGCTAAACCCACACCGCTCGGCCATTGATATCACTGTCCGGCAGCTTTCCCGCTGCTTGTCCAGCGAGGACCCCCCTCCCCGTTAGTTAGGGCTTTGGCTGTGGGGTTACCAGGAGCTGAGGGGGAGGATTCCCGGCCCCCAGTGACTGGTCGGCCCTTCCAGGTCCTGCTGATGAGCCGGGCCGGGCTGTGCTGCCATCAGCAGTGAATGCTCTGGAATACTGTGGAGTCCTGTAGCTCAGTGGTTAGAGCACTCGCTTTGCAAGCGAGAGACCTGAGTTCAATTCCAGGCAGAGGGCGAAACCTTGGGCAAGTTTCCTTACTCCACACAGAGCCTAATAATAATCCTCCAAAACCAAAAACAATAATAAATTGGTCATTTTCAATCTACGACTGTTTGTGGGACATTGCTGTGCGCAATTGGCTGCCGCGTTCCCCAACAAATATACAGTCAATTCACTTTACAGTGTGTTCTGTGAAGCGCTTTGGGACGTCCTCCCAACGTGAAAAGCGCTATATCGGATGCAAGGATTATTATTATTATTATTACTGCGGCCCCTCCTGGTTCAGGAACCGGAGTAGAGACTGGGACAGAGGGGGGGCCCGATTCTGACATTTCAATGTGAAAAATGTCACTTTTTTACTTTTACAAATAATCATGCTCTGTAGTTTATAGTGTTTCAGAGGACGATAAATTAACAGAATTCCATTAGGTGATTGTAATTGAAACAAGGAACAACAACACCAACTTGCACTTATATAGCGTCCTCCACAGGCAGCATCTCAGAGCGCTTATCGTGGGGGAGCCTGACTCTGAGCCGGTGGTGGGGGGTGTGGGGGGAGGTGACCATAAGCACGGTTGAAAAGGAAGGTTATCAGGCGGGACATGAAAAGGGGAGAGAGGGGTCAAGGCAAGAAGATTGAGGGAGAGTTTTGGGGCGTAAAGGCTGAATGCTCACCTTTGATGGTGGGGTGGAGGGTGTGAGGGAGGAACAGGAGCCGGATTTCACATCTCACAAGTAACGAATGAAGCTCTGTCAAGTGCAAGACAGGATCACCAATTGCTCACCAGAGCTATGAACAGATACAGGGTTTCCCGTTTACTTACAATTCCTTTGGAAAGGTAGTTGTTAACAAAGTCCTTCCAGGTGACTTCCCGGCCCGCATTCCTGAAGAAGAAGTAATAAACAACAGCCGCCCAAACTGCTGCACTTCCTAAGAAGTAAAACCGAAATTCCTTGTCGTCCCACGGAATGTCACCCTACAGGAAAAAACACCACTGAAACCTTTCACAGCATAACCACAACAACTTGCATTTATACAGCGCCCCTCACACAGGGCAGGACCCACAGCGCTTGAGAGTGTTGGAGCCCGACACGAGCCGAGGGGAAGTCGAACAGGCAGGGCTTCAAGGCGGGTTACAAAGATGGGGAAGGAGGGGGCAAAGAGGAGGGATTGAAGGAGAGTGCTCCAGAGTTTGGGGGAGTAATGACTAAAGGCATGGCCACCGATGGTGGAACATAGAATGCAATTACAAGTAAAATATTCAACAATACATTTGAAACAAAATGCCGCTTATGGAAACATTGCATAATTAAGTGATCAGACAATATTCACCTTAATTTATACAACATTATGTTTCACCTTTTGCTCCACATCACTTTCAACCAGGCCAACGAACAAAAACATATTTAATTAGGCTTCTGTAGGTGTAATTGAAGTGCTTGCCACCTGACGTGCGCCTTAAAAAAGAGATGGGAGATTCTCTTTCTCTCCCGGTGTCCTGACCAACATTCCCCCAGATAAATCACTTCATGGCTGTTTGTGGGACACTGCTGTGTGCAAATTAGCTGTCATGCTGGTCTACAAAATAAAGTCACCGCGCTTCACAGTAAACCCTGTGAAATGCTGTGAGGCATCCTCCCGACATGAACAGCACTCTATCAAATGCAAGGATTTAACAATACTGTAAAATATACTGTAAGACAATTGAATACAGCATTGTCCCACAAACAGTTGTCAATTGAGTGACCAAATTATTATTTTTTAAAAAATGTTTTGAAAGGATTATTACTCCAGAAAAGTGATCTGTCAATCGAGTAATCATTATTTGAACCCCTTCAGTCGGGTTTCGGTGCTGCCCATAGCACAGAAACTGCCCTGGTCAAGGTCACCAATGACATCCTGACCATCTGTGACCAGCGCTCCCTCTGCCTCCTCGTCCTCCTCGACCTATCGGCAGCATTCGATACGGTCGACCACACTATCCTCCTCCACCGCTTGTCCTCCCACCTCAACCTTCAAGGCCCTGTCCTTAACTGGCTCCCCATCCCCCAGAGGATTGATTTCAAGATCCTCATCCTCACCTACAAGGCCATTCACGGCCTCGCTCCTTCCTACCTCTCCAACCTACTATCCCCCTACCTACCTGCCCGTACCCTCCGTTCCTCTGGCTCCGGTCTGCTCCACGTCCCCCGCCCCAACCGCCCTACCATCGGTGGTCGGGCCTTCAGCCTCTCAGCCCCGAGGCTCTGGAACTCCATCCCCCAGTGCCTTCGCCGCTTCCTCCCTTTCCTCCTTCAAGGCCGGTCTCAAAACCTTTCTCTTTGACCGAGCCTTCAGCTCCGCTCTCAACTCTCTACCCCCTCCTCGCTCCCTCCCTTCCCTCCCCTCACCCTGACCATTTCCCCCCTCCTCGGGTCATGACCCAACTGTGCAGCGCCTTGGGACGTCCTCCTGACGTGAGAGGCGCTTTATAAATGGAATCTTGTTGTTGTTGTTGTTGTTGTTTAGGTCGTACCTCTCCCACCGTCTTCACTTTGTTTCCACGAACGGCTTTTCCTCCACCCCCCGCACTGTCTCGTGCGGTGTCCCTCAGGGCTCTGTCCTCAGTCCCTCCTCTTCACCCTCTATATGCTCCCCCTGTGGGTATGCGGATGACACCCAACTCTACCTTTCCTCCTCTACCTCAACTCCACGACCCCCGATGTAACTTTCTTCAGCTCAACGTGCGAAAAACTGAGGCCCTCCTGATTGGCTCACGTCAGCGCCTCCGCACCTCAGGTGCTGACACCATCAGCTCTGCATCTCCACCTCTCAAAGCCATCAGGAACCTCGGGGTTCTGTTCGACCCTGAGCTGTCCTTTCTCCCCCATATCCGCACCACAACGGGCACCGCCTTCCATCACCTCCGGAACATCGCCAGACTACGGCACTACCTCACCCCTCACGCGGCTGAAACTCTGGTCCACACCTTTATCACCTCAAGGCCGGACTATGGGAACTCTCTCCTCGTCGGCCTTCCCGGCCCTCCCTCCACACTGCAGGTCATTCAGAACTCTGCAGCTCGTGTACTGTCCCGCACCAGACACCGCGACCACATCACTATCCGCCTATCTACCTGCCTGTACCCTCCGTCCCTCTGGCTCCGGTCTGCTCCACATCCCCCGCCCCAACCGCCCTACCATCGGTGGCCTTCAGCCTCTCAGCCCCGAGGCTCTGGAACTCCATCCCCCAGTGCCTTCGCCGCCTCCTCCCTTTCCTCCTTCAAGGCCGGTCTCAAAACCTTTCTCTTTGACCTTCAGCCTTCAGCTCCCCTCTCGACGCTCTACCCCCTCCTCCCTCCCTCCCTTCCCTCCCCTCACCCTGACCATTTCCCCCCTCCTCACTCCCTCCCTTCCCTCCCCTCACCCTGACCATTCCTCCCTCCTCGCTCCCTCCCTTCCCTCCCCTCACCCTGACCATTTCCTCCCTCCTCGCTCCCTCCCTTCCCTCCCCTCACCCTGATCATTTCCTCGCTCCCTCCCTTCCCTCCCCTCACCATTTCCCCTTGCTTGGGTCCTGACCCAACTGTACAACGCCTTGGGACGTCCTCGCGACGTGAAAGGCGCTCAATAAATGGAATCTTTTTGTTGTTGTTGTTGTTGTAAACAGAGGCACGTGTGTGGAATAAGGAAACTTGCCCTGTCCTGCAATGTAACCACGATCCTCTCGCTTGAGAGGTGATAACCAATATGCTGTGGAACTCCACCAGTTGTTGAACAATGGTCACTGCGAACTAGAAATCGCACTTACTTTCTGTAATCTGGCCCACCAGGTCGAATCATCCTTCCTGCCTCCCTTCTTTCCTCCACCTCCACCTCCACCATTGCTCCCAGAACTCTGAGGATTTGGCGCTTTTGCATCTGTGAAACATGGCGACATACCATCAATATACAATGCAACCTTTCTACAATCTTCATCCTTACTGGTTTCTGGTTCGTAAGATTCTCTTCCAGTGGTGAGACATCACCTTGTTGACGAGTATCAACAAGATAATAATAATCCCTCCAAAATCCAAAAACAATAATAAAAAAATTTGTCATTTTCAATCTACGACTGTTTGTGGGACATTGCTGTGCGCAATTGGCTGCCGCGTTCGCCCACAAATATACAGTCAATTCACTTTACAGTGTGTTCTGTGAAGCGCTTTGGGACGTCCTCCCGACGTGAAAAGCGCTATATCAAATGCAAGGATTATTATTATTATTATTATTATTCTCAATAAGAAATAACAATAAATCTTTACACTTGATACGGCGCCTTATCACGTCTTCGAGACGTCTCAAAGCGCTTCACAGGATATACAGTAAAGTGAATTGACTGTACATTTTGTAGGCAAAACATGCAGCCAATTGTGCACAGCAGCGTCCCACAAACAGCCGTGGATTGAATGACATCATTATTATTATTTATTTTGAAGGAATTATTACCCCCGGAAAAGCGATCCGCCAATCAACTAACAACAGGGTTCCTAACCATGTGTGGAAGCAGGAAACTTGCCCAAGGTTTTGCCTTACAGGGAATCAAACCCAGGTCCTCTCTCGTGCGAGACAATAACAGTAATAATAATCCTTGCATTTGATATAGCGCTTTTCACGTCTTCTCGATGTCTCAAAGCGCTTCACAGAATATACTGTAAAGTGAATTGACTGTATATTTGTGGGCGAAATGCGCACAGCAATGTCCCACAAACAGTCGTAGATTGAAAATGACCAATTTATTATTGTTTTGTTTTGGAGGGATTATTATTAGGCTCTGTGTGGAGTAAGGAAACTTGCCCAAGGTTTCGCCCTCTGCCTGGAATTGAACTCAGATCTCTCACTTGCAAAGGGAGTGCTCTAACCACTGAGCTACAGGATTCCAATGGTGCATTTGTTTTGACTGTTTAGCAAGACTTTCCAAATTACTTGTGGGTTATGCACAGGCTTGTTCACAGGTAACATAATTTAAGGACTTGTGGATCCTTTTTGTGCTTTTGGTTATCAATTCAGCCAATTTTAAACAAGTCTTTTCTTCCCTCCAAACAGTAATGAAGGCTTATCCAGGAGGCAAAATACACTATAACCCACTTTTTTTTGCCCAGCCGGGTGTCTGACACACCTGGAAACCCATCACCATGCTTAGCAGTATCCAAACCAAACTGAGAGTTCCATACATCCCATCTACACGTGGATCCTTAATCCCACCATGTGATAGTTTAGAAAAATATACATAAGATAACATAAGACAACAGCAAAACAAGTGGAAAACATACCAATTATTTGGGAAAATGCACTTCGTTTCTTAGATTGATGATTACGTAAAGTGATCAAGCTTTTGTCTGGCGAGTTCTGATATTAGCCAAACCTTAAACATCTGTGGCCAAAACATTTCTTTGCTTTATTGCTTGAATCTTATCATACGTTAGAACCTTGTACTTTCTATTCAACTAGAAATATTTTCAAATGTTCCTGCCTGCGTTCAGCTGTAACAACAGAAAGCAGTTGTCTGGACTCCCATTGCACAGTGAGATTAATTACTACAGTAAAACTCACATAACATTTACTACGACTTACACAAAGTCCGAGTTACAGGCAAACTGTAGAAGTCATTTCAAATCTGATTTAATCAATAACGTGCCCAGCGCTCGTGTAATTCACTGCAGCCGCTAAGTGCACATGTGGTGATGGGTCAAGACTACGTTTCCTGTGATTCAAAGCTTCCTGACCATCACCACGTCACTTACCGGCAGGTGATGGAATCGCGGGAAAATATAATAATAATAATCCTTGCATTTGATATAGCGCTTTTCACGTCTTCTCGATGTCTCAAAGCGCTTCACAGAATATACTGTAAAGTGAATTGACTGTATATTTGTGGGCGAAACGCGGCAGCCAATTGTACACAGCAATGTCCCACAAACAGTCGTGGATTGAAGTGACCAATTTGTTTTTGAAGGATTATTATTAGGTGTGTGGAGTAAGGAAACTTGCCCAAGGTTTTGCCCAGCCGGGTATCGAACCCAGGTCTCTCGCTTGTGAGGTAAGTGCTCTAACCACTGAGCTACAGGACTCCAATATATATTTAAGCAATTCAAAAAATATATAAATTGTGAACCAATAAATTATATTGAATACCTTTGATCTCACTGGATTCCTTTGACGCATCGGATTCGCTTGCTGCTTTAGAATTTTTGTCAGGAAAATATTTTTCAAAACCTGTTTAAAATTAAAATGAATAAAGTTACTTTGCAAATTAAACCATGTGTTTTTTTATATATGTTTGAAAACCTCTCCACTACAAGTAACTACATCAATATGCGGATGCTGAATCCAATTAAATTTTCAAGACTAAGATATATAAGTTTTTGTTAGGTCGGGGTATCAACGGATATGGAGTAAAGGTGGGTAAATGGAGTTGAGGTACAGATCAGCCATCATCTTATAGAATGGCGGAACGGGCTTGAGGGGCTGAATGGCCTCCTCCTGTTTCTATGTCCCTAATGTTTGTATTACCTCAAACTCATAAACTCAACAAAGGAAAGGAGAAAACACGTATCTGTTGGGCTTCTTGCTATTCATGTTTCTTGTTGGAAAGCCTATGTCAGCTTTGCAGGTCAATTGTGGTTGACATGTGAATAAATGCCCAGTGGGTGGGGTACTGCAGGGCTGGTGCTCATGTGGGTTCAAATCCCACTGTTGGGACTTGTACTCACATAGTCTAAGATGGCAATCCAATAATAATAATAATCCTTGCATTTGATAAAGTGCCTTATCAGGTCTTTGAGACGTCTCAAAGTGCTTCACAGGATATATTATAAAGTGAATTGATTGTATGTTTTGTGGGCGAAATGCAGCAGCCAATCGCACAGCTACACAATGTTGTTGCGTTGTCGGAGGTGGCGACCTTCAGATGAGATGAGAGTTTTCTCTCCTCTTACAAGAAGAGGAAAGAAAACTGGTGGACAAAGACTATTCTGAAACTAACATTAATCCTTAATAACCCTTGCATTTCATATAGCACCATATCACGCTGTTGAGACTTCTCAAAGCGCTTCAGAGGATGTACTGTGAAGTGTAGTGACTGTATATTTTGTGGACAAAACTCGGCAGCCAATTACACACAGCAGCGTCCCCACAAACAGCCGTGGGGCGAGTGGGCAATACTATTTGGAGGATTGTTGTCCGGGACACCGAGAGAGAGAGAAACTCCCTTCTCTTTTCCAATAGCCCCGCGGGATCTTTACCATCCGCCTGAACAGGCAGACGGGACCTCGGGTTAACGTCTCCTCCCAAGGATGGCACCTCCCACAGTGCCCCCCACCCCACCCCCAGCGCTCTATTGGAGCATCAGCTTCGACTGTGTGATTCCAAGTCCTGACTTGGGGCTTGAACCCACAACCTCCTGACTGAGAGAGAGAGGGAGAGAGAGAGAGAGGGGGGAGAGAGAGGGGAGAGAGAGAGAGGGGGGAGAGAGAGGGGGGGAGAGAGAATGGCGGGGGAGAGAAAGAGGGGGAGAGAGAGAGAGGGGGGGAGAGAGGGGGGGAGAGAGAGGGAGGGAGAGAGAGAGAGAGAGAGAGAGAGAGAGGGGGAGAGAGAGGTGGGGAGAAAGAGGGGGGAGAGAGAGAGAGAGAGAGAGAGAGAGGGGGAGGGGAGAGAGAGAGAGAGAGGTGGGGAGAGAGAGGGGGGGTTGAGAGAGAGAGAGAGAGAGGTGGGGGAGAGAGGGGGGGGAGAGAGGGGGGGGGAGAGGGGGAGGGGAGAGAGAGAGAGAGGGTGGGGGAGAGAGAGAGAGCGCTACCACTGAGCCGTCCTGACCAAAATCCATAAATAAAAATCAAGAAGCGTAATCCAAAGGTCGCTTGTGTTCCCCGCGATCAGAAAATCATGAACAGACTTCAGGAGGGGACAGTGTAGTTCATTTCATCCAGAAGCAAGGTGAGACATACAGCTGCAGTCTGAGATTCTTGGGTTGAATTAGGACCCACTTTAACACCAAAGAGATAAACCTTTCTGACGGGGGCAAATGGTTTTGTTCACTCTCTTGTTTGATTGATAACTGGAGCCCACTGACTCACAAGCGGCTCCAGGAGGTCAATCATCTCAGTCCCCTTCTCGCCCAGTGGGAGGGAGGGAGGAGGTGTTACCGCTCCTCTGCTGGGCGAGAAGAAATTCACTTAAGTTCGGACAAAACGGCCCTCCCCGATGTGTGTAGCTTCGCCTGTATCTCCTGTGAAGAGCTTCGAGGCGTCCTCCTGACCTGAAAGGCTCTACATTAAATGTAAGGATTATTCCAGGTATCTGTTCCTCGCTTTCAAGTGGCTATTCCTAAAGGCACAAAGAGCAGTGCCACCTCATATATCCAGTCCAGGCTGAACGGTTTACTGAAAGATGAGTGAGATGCCAAGGCCTCAAATTTATCAGCACCAAAAATTCATCTCGAAGCTGTTACTTACTAACAGAACCTGCCCCAGTTATTGCATATCTCCTGTATCCTCATACGATCGGAAAAATCTGTTTTGAAGGGCACAGTATCCTTCCTTCACAAAGACCAGTGCTCATTTGCCTAAGAGTGGGTGTGCCTGAAATAGCTGCATATATTTCACAAGCAAAGTTAACAATAAAAATAATAATCCTTGCATTTGAAGCAGCGCCTTATCACGCTGTTGAAAGGTCTCAATGCGCTTCACAAGATATACTGTAAAGTCGAATTGTTGTGGGTGAGCCGGGTATCCGACGTGAAAGGCGCTAACAAATGTAATTTTGTTGTTGTTGCTGCATCTGACACATAAGAAAACTTGCCTAAGGTTCTGCACTGCCCAGGAATCGAACCTGGGTCCTCTCGCTTGCGAGGCAACAGCTCTAAGCACTACGCTACAGGACTAATAGTGAATTCCATTAGGAACACTTCCCCTGGTTGAATCACGGTGCCTTTAGATATCGGATTCCTTGAATCACACGGTGCTGCCCAATCTCTCAAGCTTTATAGCAGAGTCTGATTCAAGGAATCCTATATCCTAAACTTTTGAGTCTTGGTGGGGGGTGGGGAGGGGAGTGTACAGGTCGGAGTAGTAGGGAAGTGCTGGAGTACAAAGTGATTCTAAGGGAGTACGAGGATCTTGAAATCACTACAATTGTGGAATCCTGTAGCTCAGGGGTTAGAGCCCTCCCTCGCAAGCGAGAGACCTGGGTTTGATTACCGGGCAGAGCGAAACCTAAGGCGAGTTTCCTTACTCCACACGCCTCAGTTTACCAGCTGTGAGTAGGAACCTGGTTGTTAGTCGATTGGTGGATCGTTTGGGGTAACAATTTTTAAAAAATGTTGTGTCACTCAATCCACGTCTGTTTGTGGGACGCTGTTGTGCGCGATTGGCTGCCATATTCCACCCACAAAATATATAGTCAATTCACTTGACAGTATATTCTGTGAAGGACTTTGAGGACGTCCTCCCGATGTGAAAGGCGCTGTATCAAATGTAATTTTGTTGTTGTTGTCTAGAAGATGTGATAAGGCACTATAGCAAATGCAAGGATTATTATTATTATAGGCATAAATTAACATGTTTACAGATATTTAACCAAAGTTAAAGGTACCTCACCTTTTGGAGGTCGGGTGTACAATTGCCCGCACACACCAAGTACACTTGTCAGTAGATTGTTCCTCTCCAATCTGGCACGTCTTGGTGCAGATTCTGAAAGCTACAAGAACAATTGTCAATCTAAAAATTACATACAAACTTTTTTTAAAAAAAATAAAGTAGCAAAACTTTTCACTCAAGGTTGTAAACGACACTTGATTAACAGGAAATAATAATCCTTGCATTTAATATAGCGCCTTGCTCCCCCCTACCTCTGCGATCTTCTAACCCCCTACCAACCTGCCCGCTCCTTCCAGTTAGCAGGCTCCGGCCTTGCCCACCATTGGCGGGCGGGCCTTCTGCCACTCTGCACCCACCCTCTGGAACTCCATCCCACAGTCCCTTCTCCTTGCCCCCTCCATTGCCTCCTTTAAGATCTGTCTCAAGACACTCCTCTTCGACTTGCAGATGACACTAAGTTGGAAACAGTAGTAAACAGCGAGGGGGATAGTAACCGACTGCAAGAGGTTAGAGACAGACTGGTAACACGGGCAGACACGTGGCAGATGGAGTTTAATGTGGAGAAATGTGAAGTGATGCATTTTGAGAGGAAGAATGAGGAGAGGCAATATAAGCTGATGGTCCAGTCTTAATGGGGGTGAAGGGACAGAGAGACCTGGGGGTCATATAGTAAATCTCTGAAGGTGGCCGGACAGGCAGATACAGCTGTTAAAGAGCATCCGGGATACTCGGCTTTATAAATAGGGCATAGAATACACAAGTCAGGAAGTTATGATGAACCTTTATATAAAACACTGGTGAGGCCTCAGCGAGAGACTGGGTTCAGTTCTGGGCCCCACACTGTAGGAAGGATGTCAAGGCATTGGAGAGGGTGCAAAGGAGATTGACCAGAATGGCACCAGGAATGAGGGACCTCAGTTATCAGGAGAGGTAGAGAAGCTCGGATTATTCTCCTCGGAGCAGAGAAGGTTAAGAGGAGACTTAATAGAAGTTTTCAAAATGATGAGGGGATTCGATAGGGTGAACGAGGAGAAACTATTCCCACTGGCGGTGGGTCGGTAACCCGAGGACACCGATTTAAAATAGTTGTTAAAAGAAACAGAGGGGAGGAGAGGAGAAATGTGTTCACACAGCGAGTTGTTGGGATCTGGAATGCATTGCCTGAAAGGCCGGTGGAGAGAGAGGGGGAGTGGGGTTGATCAGGGCTATGGGGAGAGCGGGGGAGTGGGGTTGATCAGGGCTATGGGGAGAGTGCGGGGAGTGGGGTTGATCAGGGCTATGGGGAGAGTGCGGGGAGTGGGGTTGATCAGGGCTATGGGGAGAGTGGGGTTGATCAGGGCTATGGGGAGAGAGGGGGGAGTGGGGTTGATCAGGGCTATGGGGAGAGAGTGGGGGAGTGGGGTTGATCAGGGCTATGGGGAGAGAGGGGGGAGTGGGGTTGATCAGGGCTATGGGGAGAGGGGGGAGTGGGGTTGATCAGGGCTATGGGGAGAGAGGGGGGAGTGGGGTTGATCAGGGCTATGGGGAGAGAGTGGGGTTGATCAGGGCTATGGGGAGAGAGGGGGGAGTGGGGTTGATCAGGGCTATGGGGAGAGGGGGGGAGTGGGGTTGATCAGGGCTATGGGGAGAGAGGGGGGGAGTGGGGTTGATCAGGGCTATGGGGAGGGGGGGGAGTGGGGTTGATCAGGGCTATGGGGAGAGTGGGGTTGATCAGGGCTATGGGGAGAGAGGGGGGAGTGGGGTTGATCAGGGCTATGGGGAGAGTGCGGGGAGTGGGGTTGATCGGGGCTATGGGGAGAGTGCGGGGGAGTGGGGTTGATCGGGGCTATGGGGAGAGTGCGGGGGAGTGGGGATGATCAGGGCTATGGGGAGACCTGTACCCTAGCCAGATCCTAACAACTTACAGATTTAACGAACACAAATCATTCTCCAAACACTGCTCTTCAACAAAATGTCAGTGTTGATTGTCTTCTCTTCCAATCCCACGTCAATGGGCACAAAGTTCATGTCCCATCGCAAACAGCCCTTCCACGAACTCACTGAGCAGAAACATTTTGCCTTATATTTAGACAGAGCAATCTGCAATAACACAGCAAGTAGCCTCTGGGGGAGACGGATGCTAAAGAAAGGAGTTTTTTTTACTAAACATCAAACACTGGTTTGTGCGACTACAAAACTACTCCATCATTCTGAAAGAAAACAAGTCTCTGCTCCAAAAGACAGGAGTGTATGTGATAAGCAGCTCCGATGGAGAGTTAGGGTACCCTATAGACTTGTTATTCAAACTTTCAACCTGGGGTCTGCTCAACAGTTCAAAGGCCTCAAATAATAACCTTCCAAGTCACTTTTTTCAAAAAAAAACAAAATAACTTGTTGTATTTATTCCTGAGGAGCCTGTGCAGAGGGCGCTCTGTAATACACTACAATTATATATGCATTTCATATCGGTCTTAGCACATCGTTGAGATGTCTCAAAGCGCTTCACAAAATAGTGACTGTGTATCTTGTGGGTGAAACGCGGCAGAGCACACAGCAGCGCCCACACACAGTCGTGGACTGAGGGACCAAATTATTATTATTTTTCTAATTGACGCTGAAAGATATAGAGAGCGACAGGAGACCAGAGCTGAGAGAGAGGCTGACCATCCCGTCCATGGGGAGAGGAGTGGAGCCGGAGCCGGAGATGGAGATGGAGATGGAGATGGAGATGGAGATGGGCCTCACGACTTTGCTCACTTTTCTTCCCAAAAACGAGGTTTGTGGTAAATTGGTCAATTCGAGGCTGTGTGTCAGTGGGGGGGGGTGGGGGTGTCAGTGTGGGGAGGGGGTGTCAGTGTGGGGGGGGGTGTCAGTGGGGGGGGAGGGGGGTGTCAGTGGGGGGGGTGTCAGTGGGGGGGGGTGTCAGTGGGGGGGGGTGTCAGTGGGGGGGGAGGGGGTGTCAGTGGGGGGGGGGAGGGGGGTGTCAGTGGGGGGGGTGTGTCAGTGGGGGGGGAGTGTGTGTCAGTGGGGGGGTGTCAGTGGGGGGGGGTGTCAGTGGGGGGGGGAGGGGGTGTCAGTGGGGGTGTGTGTGTCAGTGGGGGGGTGTCAGTGGGGGGGTGTCAGTGGGGGGGGCTGTGTCAGTGGGGGGGGTGTCAGTGGGGGAGGGGGTGTCAGTGGGGAGGGGGTGTCAGTGGGGGGGGGGGGGGGGTGTCAGTGGGGGGGTGTGTGTCAGTGGGGGGGGGTGTCAGTGGGGGGGGGGGTGTCAGTGGGGGGGGTGTCAGTGGGGGGGGGTGTGTCAGTGGGGGGGGGTGTGTCAGTGGGGGGGGGTGTCAGTGGGGGGGGGGTGTCAGTGGGGGGGGTGTCAGTGGGGGGGGGTGTGTCAGTGGGGGGGGGTGTGTGTCAGTGGGGGGGGTGTCAGTGGGGGGGGGTGTCAGTGGGGGGGGGGGTGTCAGTGGGGGGGGTGTCAGTGGGGGGTGTGTGTCAGTGGGGGGGTGTGTCAGTGGGGGGGGTGTGTCAGTGGGGGGGGTGTCAGTGGGGGGGGTGTGTCAGTGGGGGGGTGTGTCAGTGGGGGGGAGGGGGTGTCAGTGGGGGGGGTGTCAGTGGGGGAGGGGTGTCAGTGGGGGGAGGGGGTGTCAGTGGGGGGGTGTCAGTGGGGGGGGTGTCAGTGGGGGGGGGGGGTGTCAGTGGGGGGGGGGTGTGTCAAGGGGGGGGTGTGTGTCAGTGGGGGGGGAGGGGGTGTCAGTGGGGGGGTGGGTGTCAGTGGGGGGGGGGGGTGTCAGTGGGGGGGTGTCAGTGGGGGGGGTGTCAGTGGGGGGGGTGTCAGTGGGGGGGTGGGGGGGGGGGTGTGTCAGTGGGGGGAGGGGGTGTGTCAGTGGGGGGGGAGGGTGTGTCAGTGGGGGGGGAGGGGTGTCAGTGGGGGGGGTGTCAGTGGGGGGAGGGGGTGTCAGTGGGGGGGGGTGTCAGTGGGGGGGGGTGTCAGTGGGGGGGGGTGTCAGTGGGGGGGGGGGTGTCAGTGGGGGGGGGTGTGTCAAGGGGGGGGTGTGTGTCAGTGGGGGGGAGGGGTGTCAGTGGGGGGGAGGGGGTGTCAGTGGGGGGGTGTCAGTGGGGGAGGGGGTGTCAGTGGGGGGGTGTCAGTGGGGGGGGTGTCAGTGGGGGGGGGTGTCAGTGGGGGGGTGTCAGTGGGGGGGGTGTCAGTGGGGGGGAGGGGGTGTCAGTGGGGGGGTGTCAGTGGGGGGGGGGGGTGTCAGTGGGGGGGTGTCAGTGGGGGGGGTGTCAGTGGGGGGGTGTCAGTGGGGGGGGTTGTCAGTGGGGGGGAGGGGGTGTCAGTGGGGGGGGGGGGTGTCAGTGGGGGGAGGGGGTGTCAGTGGGGGGGGGTGTCAGTGGGGGGGGGGGTGTCAGTGGGGGGAGGGGGTGTCCAGTGGGGGGGGGTATAAAATAGCCAAGATATGTCTCTCCCGAACCCGTCACATTCCCCCCACTCCCTCTCCCCCTCACACACCCCCACACCCTCCCCCCACCCCCCACTCCCCCCCCGCCGCTCTCACCGTGTGCGGGGCGCTGTGTTGGGCTGTGACGGTGGAGGCGGAGGCGGGGGCGGGGCCCCGGTAGCGGCTGAGGCCGCGGCAGCACCGGGACAGCAGCAGATAGCGGTGCGCCATCCCCTCCCCTCCCCCCGCGCGCGCGGCCCTCACTGTCATGGCCGCCAACGGCCACCGGCGCTCACACACGTCACCGCGTAACCCCCGCATACGTCATCACGCAGACCCCACGCACGCTGCCGCCCTCCCATCAGGTCACGTGGGGGCGCTTCTCACGCGCGATTGGGCGGTCTCTGAGGAGTGTGAGAGAGAGAGAGAGAGGGAGAGGGGGAGTGTGTGAGAGAGAGAGGGGGAGTGTGAGGGAGAGAGAGGGGGAGTGTGTGAGAGGGGGAGTGTGTGAGAGAGAGAGAGGGGGAGTGTGAGGGAGAGAGAGGGAGTGTGTGAGAGAGAGAGGGGAGGTGTGAGGGAGAGAGAGGGGGAGTGTGTGAGGGAGAGAGGGGGAGTGTGAGAGAGAGAGAGAGGGGAGTGTGAGGGAGAGGGGGAGTGTGTGAGAGAGAGAGGGGGAGTGTGTGAGAGAGAGAGGGGGAGTGTGAGGGAGAGAGAGGGGAGTGTGTGTGAGAGAGAGGGGGAGTGTGTGAGAGAGAGAGGGGGGTGTGTGAGGAGAGGGAGTGTGTGAGGAGAGGGGAGTGTGTGAGAGAGAGAGGGAGTGTGAGGGAGAGAGAGGGGGAGTGTGTGTGAGAGAGAGGGGGAGTGTGTGAGAGAGAGAGGGAGAGTGTGAGGGAGAGAGGGTGTGTGTGAGGGAGAGAGGGGGAGTGTGTGAGAGAGAGAGGGGGAGTGTGTGAGAGAGGGGGAGTTTTTGAAGAGGGGGACTGTGTAGAGAGAGGGGGAGTGTGTGAGAGAGAGAGGGGAGTGTGTGAGAGGGGAGTGTGGGAGAGAGGGGAGTGTGAGAGAGAGAGAGGGGGAGTGTGTGAGAGAGGGGGAGTGTGTGTGAGAGGGGGAGTGTGTGTGAGAGAGAGAGGGGGAGAGTGTGAGAGAGGGGGAGTGTGTGTGAGAGAGAGAGAGGGGGAGTGTGAGAGAGAGAGGGGGAGTGTGTGTGAGAGAGAGAGGGAGGGGGAGTGTGTGAGGGATAGAGAGGGGGAGTGTGTGAGAGAGAGGGGGAGTGTGTGAGAGAGAGAGAGAGAGAGAGAGAGGGGGAGTGTGTGGAGAGAGAGAGGGGGAGTGTGTGGAGAGAGGGGGAGTGTGAGAGAGAGAGAGAGGAGGAGTGTGAGAGAGAGAGAGGGGGAGTGTGAGAGAGAGAGGGGGAGTGAGAGAGGGGGAGTGTCTGAGTGAGAGAGGGGGAGTGTCTGAGTGAGAGAGGGGAGTGTCTGAGTGAGAGAGGGGGAGTGTCTGAGTGAGAGAGGGGAGTGTGTAAGAGAGAGGGGGAGTGTGTAGAGAGAGAGAGGGGGAGTGTGTGGGAGAGAGAGGGGGAGAGTGTGTGAGAGAGAGAGAGAGGGGGAGTGTGTGAGAGAGAGAGGGGGGAGAGAGGGGGAGTGTGTGAGAGAGAGAGAGGGGAGTGTGTGAGAGAGAGAGGGGAGTGTGTGAGAGAGAGGGGGAGTGTATGAGAGAGAGAGGGAGTGTGTGAGAGAGAGGGGGGACTGTGGAGAGAGAGAGGGGGAGTGTGAGAGAGAGGGGGAGTGTGTGAGGGAGAGAGAGGGGAGTGTGTGAGAGAGAGAGAGGGAGTGTGTGAGAGAGAGAGAGGGGGAGTGTGTGAGAGAGAGAGGGGGAGTGTGAGAGAGAGAGGGGGAGTGTGTGAGAGAGAGAGAGGGGGAGTGTATGAGAGAGAGAGGGGAGTGTGTGAGAGAGAGGGGGGACTGTGAGAGAGAGAGAGGGGAGTGTGAGAGAGAGGGGGAGTGTGAGGGAGAGAGAGGGAGTGTGTGAGAGAGAGAGAGGGAGTGTGGAGAGAGAGAGAGGGGGAGTGTGTGAGAGAGAGAGGGGAGTGTGAGAGAGAGAGGGGGAGTGTGTGAGAGAGAGAGAGAGGGAGTGTGAGAGAGAGGGGAGTGTGAGAGAGAGAGGGGGAGTGTGAGAGGGAGAGAGGGGGAGTGTGAGAGAGAGAGAGGGGGAGTGTGTGAGAGAGAGAGGGGGAGTGTGAGAGAGAGAGAGGGGGAGTGTGAGAGAGAGAGAGGGGGAGTGTGAGAGGAGAGGAGGGAGAGAGAGGGAGTGTGAGAGGGAGAGAGGGGGAGTGTGAGGGAGAGAGAGGGGAGTGTGAGAGAGAGAGGGGGAGGGAGAGAGAGGAGGGAGGGGGGAGTGGTGAGGGAGAGAGAGGGGGAGTGTGAGAGGGAGAGGGGAGTGTGAGAGAGAGGGAGTGTGAGAGAGAGAGGGGAGTGTGAGAGAGAGAGAGGGGGAGTGTGAGAGAGGAGAGGGGGAGTGTGAGAGAGGAGGGGGAGTGTGTGAGAGAGAGAGGGGGAGTGTGAGAGAGAGAGGGGGAGTGTGAGAGAGAGAGGGGGAGTGTGAGAGAGAGAGGGGGAGTGTGAGAGAGAGAGAGGGGGAGTGTGAGAGGGAGAGGGGGAGTGTGAGAGGGAGAGTGTGAGAGGAGAGAGGGAGTGTGAGAGGAGAGAGGAGGGGGAGTGTGGAGGAGAGAGAGGGGGAGTGTGAGAGAGAGAGGGGGAGTGTGAGAGAGAGGGGAGTGTGAGAGAGAGAGGGGAGTGTGAGAGAGAGGGGGAGTGTGAGAGAGAGGGGAGTGTGAGAGAGGGGGAGAGAGAGAGAGAGGGGAGTGTGAGAGAGAGAGGGGGAGTGTGAGAGAGAGAAGGGAGTGTGTGAGAGGGGAGGTGTGAGGGAGAGAGAGGGGGGGGTGAGGGTTGGGGTTGACATGAAGATCTGGAGCTCGGAGCACGTGTTCGGGTAACAACATCAACAATCCTGGCGTGGGATACAGCCATGGGGGGGCTGGTCAGTGGGGGGGGGTTTGGCTGGTCAGTGGGTGGGGGGTCTGGTCAGTGGTGGGGGGGCTGGTCAGTGGGGGGGGGATGGTCAGTGGGGGGGCTGGTCAGTGGGGGGGGTTGGCTGGTCAGTGGTGGGGGGGCTGGTCAGTGGGGGGGGGTCTGGTCAGTGGGGGGATGTGGGGAATTCTCAGTTGGGTTTGGAGACTGTTGAGCAGGTGACGGGTGTCCGTGGGTGTCAGACACCCGGAGGGTCACGGTGACGGTTTCCGTGGGTGTGTGTTTTTAAGTCTGATTTAACATTAACCTCTACAGAATGGAATAGGAGAATGGTAGTATTTTGGAAAACTCTTGTATGTTTGGGTTCCCCGTTCTTTCTTTTACTGTAGTAAAATAACAATAATAATCCCGGCATTTGATACAGCGCCTCATCACACGGCTTCGAGACGTCTCAAAGCGCTTCACAGGATACACTGTAAAGTGAATTGACTGTGTATTTTGTGGTAGAAACACGACAGCCAATTGCGCACAGCAGTGAGTGTCCCACAAACAGTCATAGATTGAGTGACCAGAATATTATTATTATTTTATTTGTATTGCATGAAATGTGTCTGTGTTTGACCAACATTTTTCCTTTGATGTCATTTCAGCCATCCATGGGAGACTGTTATCAAAGCTGCAATGAAAAAGTATCCGAACCCCATGAACCCCAGTGTAGTGGGAGTTGACGTATTGGACAGAAACCTGGACCCACAAGGCAGATTGCACAGCTATCGTCTGCTCTGCACAGAATGGGGACTGCCCACCATTGTCAAGGCTGTAAGTATCCGAATAGTTTAATTCAATATTTCAGTTTGGTGATATTGAGTGGGTGAGTACAGTAAATTCACACCAGCCTTTATAACTCATATAATCACCAAAGTCGTCCACACGACTCGTGTTAATGACCTCCTCACTGGTAACATGGCTCCTGCCCTCCATTACTCCACACTTACCGGTGCTTTGAATCGCGGGGAATGCCGTCCTGACCCATGGACGTTTGCACAGAAGAACCTCATTTCCCGCGATTCCATCACCTGCCGATAAGTGACGTGGTGACGGTCAGGAAGCTTTGAATCACAGGAAACGTAGTCTTGACCCATCACCACATACACAGGACCAGTGTAGATTATTGATTAAATCTGGGACCTGGAACTTTGCGTAAATCATATTAAATGTTATGGTCCCGACTGATACAACTTGTGGGAGTTTTATTAGTAGAGGTTTGTAGTGTCAAAACTCTTTAAACTATACACTCTTTCATTTCTGAAAGTTGTGTCCATTACAAGACCTTTATTACAAAACCTTCAGAGCTGTTTGCCTGTTGTCAGCCATAGAGAATTCTACGTTAGACATTTTCCAAGCATATAGAATTTAGTATATATATACTGTATATACTGTACATAATTTAGGCAAGTTTCCTTACTCCTCCTGCATCTGTTTACCTTGCAGTAAGTAGGAACCCAATTGTTAGAATCTGTTAGAAGATTGGCAGATTATTTTCCAGTGGGGGGTAATCCCGTCAAAATAAATAAATGAATAATATAGTGACTCAATCCACGTCTGTTTGTGGGACACTGCTGTGCGCAATTGGCTGCCGTGTTTCACCCACAAATATACAGTCAATTGACTTTATAGTATATTCTGTGAAGCGCTTTGAGACGTCTCGAGGATGTGGAAAGGTGCTGTATCAAATGCAAGGGTTATTATTTTTTATTATAATTTGTAACTGGGTTGTCAGAAACACTTTGTTCCATTATTAAAGCAAATATAGAAGTGAATGTGTAATATCCAGAATAACCCACACCCCTGCTTTCATTAGATCTTGGGTTCAAGCAGGACCACAACTTACGTTAAGGAACACTCTGTTGTAGATCCAGTCGATCAGACCATGGAGCTCAGCTCTTCTAACGTAAGTAAAAAGCTTTTTAAAATCTGCAACGTGATTTTGCTGTTTAATAAAATGTTAAATAAAATGCTGCTCAATCGTAATTCCAGTAATTATTTTGTGTCCGCCTTTGTTTTACTTCCATGTGAGATAGAAAACTGCTGTCATTCCATAGTGGGTGAATGTCGGAAATACTGAAACTTGTAGAATTTTTGTCACAATAATAATAATAATCATAATAATGATAGTCCTTGCATTTGATATAGTGCCTTTCACTTCACAGGATTTTACTGTAACATAATGTGTATTTATGGGCAAGTGTCCCCACACACAGCCGTGGGGCAAGTGGGTAATATTATTTGGGGGACTGTTGTCCAGGACACCGGGAGAGAGAGAGAAACTCCCTTCTCTTTTCCAATAGCCCCGCGGGATCTTTACCATCCGCCTGAACAGGCAGACGGGACCTCGGGTTAACGTCTCCCCCCGAGGACGGCACCTCCCACAGTGTCACCCCCCACCCCACCCCCAGCGCTGTATTGGAGCATCGGCTTAGACTTCAACGTCGCAATGTGGGTCTTGTGACTCCGAGGTGGGAGCTACCGGGCCAACCGGGCTGACACACTGTCAGGAGTTAATGGATGGCCTTTGTTTTGCTTTGTCTTATCCTCTATTTCCATATTTGTTTTGTCATTTTCTTAAAACAAACTCTCCTTCAGTTGGTTATAATGATGAAAATGAAGTCAATGAAAAGCTTAATAAATGGTGATGAGAATATGGAGTAGACAACAGCAAATCGCACTTACATCGCGCCTGCGGCTCATGTCAGGGGCACGTCCCAAGGCGCTGGACAGTCAGGGACATGGACCCGAGCTGGGGGTTGGGATCAGGAGGGGATGAGGGCAGGGAGGGTGGGGGTTGGAGGGTGACCAAAGGTGTGGTCGATGAGGATGGGCCTTGAAGGAGGCGAGGGAGAGGGTGAGGGAGAGGGACTGTGGGATGGAGTTCCAAAGTGTGGAGGCTGAAGGCCCGACTGCAGATGGTGGGGTGGGTCGGGCGGTGCGGTGCACGTGGAGCAGACCAGAGCCTGCTGAGCGCAAGGAGTGGACAGGTCAACATGGAGTTAGCAGGTCACAGAGGTAGGGAGGAGCCAGGCCATGGAGGGGCTTGAAGGCGTAGACGAGGATTTTGAACTCTATCCTCTTGGAGGATGGGGAGCCAGTGGAGCCGGGCGAGGATAGGTTCAGACTACTATTGATATTGATATTGAAGCGTTCAAAAGAACATTAGCTATGTTCTTGGTAAGTAAGGGATATGGAGAGAATTGGTGTCCTAGGCTTGATGGTGGCGCAGGCTCCATGAGTCAATCAGCCTCCTCATGTTCAGTAAAGCATTGTGAAGCGCTTTGAGATGTCCTCCCATCGTGAAAGATGCTATGTCAAATATAAGGACTATTATTAATAATAACCTACATTGACCTGTTGTGATGTTTGTTACAGATATCCCTCACTAACTTGGTGTCAGTCGATGAAAGGCTGATATATCGACCTCATCCGGAAAACTCTGAACTGTGAGTTTGGAGATGTTTTATTTTGCTTTGAGATCTTTTCAATATCTTGCTTTATTTTGCTTTTTATAGTTCAAAAACAATCAATCGATACTCGATCCTTCAAAACATTCAAACAACAGTAAACAGTTTGTTTGTTTCAAACCTCAGTGCGTGTCAGTGCGTGTCAGCCCGGCTCAGTGTGTGTGTCAGCCCGGCTCAGTGTGTGTGTCAGCCCGGCTCAGTGTGTGTGTCAGCCCGGCTCAGGGTGTGTGTCAGCCCGGCTCAGTGTGTGTGTCAGCCCGGCTCAGGGTGTGTGTCAGCCCGGCTCAGGGTGTGTGTCAGCCCGGCTCAGTGCGTGTGTCAGCCCGGCTCAGTGTGTGTCAGTGTGTGTCAGCCCGGCTCAGTGTGTGTCAGTGTGTGTCAGCCCGGCTCAGTGTGTGTGTCAGCCCGGCTCAGTGTGTGTGTCAGCCCGGCTCAGTGTGTGTGTCGGCCCGGCTCAGTGTGTGTCAGTGTGTGTCAGCCCGGCTCAGTGTGTGTGTCAGCCCGGCTCAGTGCGTGTGTCAGCCCGGCTCAGTGTGTGTCAGCCCGGCTCAGTGTGTGTGTCGGCCCGGCTCAGTGCGTGTGTCAGCCCGGCTCAGTGTGTGTCAGCCCGGCTCAGTGGTAGCGCGCTCTCTCTTCTCTTTCTCTCTCACCCCGCCCCCCCCTCTCTATCTCTTTCTCTCTGTCTCCCTCTCTCTCTCTCTCTCTCTCAGTCAGGAGGTTGTGGGTTCAAGCCCCACGTCAGGACTTGGAATCACACAGTCTAAGCTGATGCTCCAATACAGCGCTGGGGGTGGGGGGGCACTGTGGGAGGTGCCGTCCTCGGGAGGAGACGTTATTGGAAAAGAGAAGGGAGTTTCTCTCTCTCTCCCGGTGTCCTGGACAACAATCCCCCAAATAATATTGCCCACTCGCTCCACGGCTGTGTGTGGGGCACTGCTGTGTGTAATTGGCTGCCGAGTTTTGTCCACAAAGTATACAGTCACTACACTTAATAGTAAATCCTGTGAAGCGCTTTGAGGCGTCTCAATGATGTGATAATGGGCTATGTCAAATGTAAGGATTATTATTATTTGAAAATCGGATCGGAAGTTTACAAGTGGCTGTTACACTCTTAACTATTTTTGTTTGTATAAAATATCCCCCAATTCCCAGATTTTGGCATTGTTTCTAAACAACTCTTAATAATATGTACAATTCCTGAAATCTTAATAATTCTGGCGAATTCCCTTCAAGCATTTTGTGGGTGAAAATAACCTAAATAATAATAAATAAATAGATAATAATAATAATCCTTGCATTTGATACAGCGCCTTATCATGTGTTTCAGACTCCTCAAAGCGCTTCACGGAATATACTGTTAAGTGTAGTGACTGTGTATTTTTATATATATTATATATTTATAATATATAAATATATAATATATATATACTGTCCAGCGCCTTGGAACCCACCTCCCGACATGGAAGGCACTTTACATGTATCATTTTGTTGTTGTTGTTAACTGCTTTAGTTGTCAACGCAGTCAATAAATGTATTTTGATTTAGGACCGTTCTGACACAGGAAGCAATTATCACAGTGAAAGGAGTGAGTCTGAGCAGCTATTTGGAAGGATTAATGGCAAACACGATTTCTGCCAACGCCAGAAAGGTAGTATGTGACATTGGAATATTTCAGTCGCTATTTCAAACCCATCACTACTTGAGTGAATGAGTGGCAAATATATGGAACAGACTCTCTGGGGAGACGGTAGAAGCAGAAAGTGTTGCTTTTTTCAAAACCAAATCCACCTCAAAGCTGATCTCTAGGTCAACGGTGTAAAATTTTGTGGGTAGTGTACGAGACAAAATTGATTTAATTTTTCTTTCCTTTTGTTTGTCTAATCTCTGCTTTTATTCTATTAACAACACCGGGTCTGACCTCCTCCTCGTCCCCCGAGGCCTCCGCTCCCCCCTCGCGGCTGTGCCTTCAGCCACTACCCCCCGAGGCTCTGGAACTCCCTTCCTCACTCCCTTCCCCTCGTCCCCTCTCTTCCTATTTTCAGGTCTCGGCTGAAGACCTTTCTCTTCGACCGCGCCTTTGGTCACCTCCCCCCCCCCCCTGGCCCCTCCCCCTCCCCCTCCCCACCCTCCCCCTCCCCCCCTCCCCCTCCCCAGCCCTTCCCCCTCCCCAGCCCCTCCCCCTCCCCAGCCCCTCCCCCGGCTCCCCCCCCTCCCCCAGCTCCTCCCCACCCCTGGCTCCCCCCTCCCCCTGGCTCTCCCCCTCCCCTGGCTCTCCACCTCCCCCTGGCTCCCCCCCTCCCCCTGGCTCCCCCCCTCCCCCAGCTCCTCCCCCACCCCTGGCTCCCCCCCTCCCCCTGGCTCCCCCCCTCCCCCAGCTCCTCCCCCACCCCTGGCTCAGCCCCGGGATCCGTAACTGAAACGTTCTGAGATGCCGCCCAGCGTCCTATATAAATCCAAGATGTTGTTGTAGCATTTCTTTTAATGAAAAAATGCAAGTATTAATATTTTTGTCGGTTAGTTTAGCGCTGTCTTATGAGTTGAATCAAAGCATTTAAGTGAATATGAACATATTATACTTTTCATTTCTCTTGTTTCATTGGGTTGGTTTTCTGACTTGCCCTAATCGCTAATTACAGTAAAACTCACATCAGTCTTTATACATTAGAATCCATTAGAATATCATAGACTTCATAGAATGTTACGGCACAGGAGGCCATTCGGCCCATCGAGTCTGTGCGGCTCTTTGACAGAGCGTCACTTTCACTAACCCCAATCACCAGCTTTCTCCCCATAACCCCACAAACCCGTCTTCCCCGATACCTGTCCAGTTCTCTCTTAAAAGCTGTTATGGAATCGGACTTCACTGCCCTTTCGGGCGGATCATTCCAAATCCCAACAACTCGCTGAGTGAAAACATTTCTTCTAACCTCCCCTCTGCTTCTTTTGGTGATATCTTCAGACTGTGACCGCGGGTCACAGACACACCTACCAGCGGAAACAGCTTTCCCTATCTCGCCTGTCGAAACCTTTCATGATCTTGAAGACCTCTATCAGGTCCCCACGTAACCTTCTCTGCTCTAATGGGAAAAGTCCTAACTTCTCCACTGTCCTCATAGCTAAGGTTCCCCATTCCTGGTATCATTCTCGTGAATCTCCTCTGTACCCTTTCCAGTGCCTTAATGTCCTTCCTGAGGTAATGTGCCCAGAACTGGACGCAGTACTCCAGCTGAGGCCTAACCAGTGTTTTGTACAGATTAACCATAACCCCTACTCTTATACTCTGTGCCCTACTAATAAAGCTCAGTACACCAAATGCCCTTTTACTGCCCTATCTACCTGCTCTGCCACCTTCAATGAATCGCTTACTTGAACACCCAGATCTCTCTGTACGTTCACCCCCTTAAGATTGAGCTCCAAGTCTATATTGCCTCCTATCATTCTTCCAACCTAAGTGTATCACCTCACACTTATCCACATTGAAACCCATCTGCCACATGTCAGCCCATTCCACCATTCTGTGTATGTCTGCCTGCAGTCCGTCACAATCTTCTTCACTATTTACTACCCGACCTAACTTGGTATCATCTGCAAACTTGGAAATAGTGCTCCCTATGGCCAAGTCCAGATCATTAATATATATTAGAAAGAGCAGTGGTCCCAATACCGATCCCTGGGGGACACCGCTGCACACCTCCGTCCATTGCGAGAAACACCCATTAACACCACCCTCTGCTTTCTGTCACTCAGTCAGTTCCTAATCCAAATGGCTACTGTCCCCTTAATACTGTGGGCCTCTAATTTTTTTATTAACCTCTTATGCGGTACTGTGTCAAAAGCCTTTTTAAAATCCATGTAAATAATGTCCACCGCATTTCCCTCATCAACCCTCGCAGTCACCTCTTCAAAAAATTCTATTAGATTTGTTAGGCAAGATTTGCCTTTAACAAATCCATGTTGGGGGTCTCTAATTACCTCGTGTTCCTCTAAGTAGAGATCTATTCTGTCCCGGATTATGGTCTCCAGTAGCTTTCCTATGACCGAAGTTAGGCTGACTGGCCTGTAATTTCCGGGCTTGTCTTTCTGCCCCTTTTTGTAGAGTGGGGTAACATTAGCCACTCTCCAGTCTCTTGGCACCACTCCTGTGTCCAATGACGATTGAAATATACAGCACAGAAACAGGCCACTCACCCAACTGGTCTGTGCCGGTGTTTATGCTCCACATGAGCCCCTCCTGCCCTTCCTCAACTAAGCCTTCAAGCCTAACCTTCTATTCCTTTCTCCCTCATGTACCTCTCTAGCTTTATAAATCGTATAATCACCTAAGTCTACAGATCACCTGACAGTGGAAGGGAGGTAGAGGAAGAAATATGCAAGCAAATTAGGGAAATGAGTAAAAAATATAGAGTAATAATCATGGGGGATTTCAACTCCCACCAAATAAATTGGCCAGAAGAGGTAGGTAAAGGGGATAAGGGAATGGAGTTCCTTCAATGAACCAGAGCAGATAAGAGAAGTACGAGTAGGGGAACATCTAGACAATAGCAATCGTAATTAATAAGGTTTAATATAATGATTGAGAAGGACATCAGTATGACAAACATTAGGATAATAGATTGGAAAAAAGCTGATTTTGTGGGGATGAGAATGGAACTTGGGAAAATAAGTGGAAAACAATATTATAATAATAATAATAATAATAATAATAATGCTTGCATTTGATATAGCGCTTTTCACGTCGGGAGGACGTCCCAAAGCGCTTCACAGAACACACTGTAAAGTGAATTGACTGTATATTTGTGGGCGAACGCGGCAGCCAATTGCGCACAGCAATGTCCCACAAACAGTCGTAGATTGAAAATGACAAATTTATTATTGTTTTTGGATTTTGGAGGGATTATTATTAGCAAACAAAGAGATAGAGCAGCAGTGGGAAACATTTAAGATGGTAGTCAATAGAGAGAAATATATTCTGTTAAAAATCGAGACAAAGCTAAACAATAATGAGACACCATGGATGACTAAAGACATAAGGGCAAAGTTGAAACTCGGGAAAGAGGCATTCACTAAGTACATAAACAACGAGGAGAGAGAGAGAGCACAACACAAAATAATACGAAGAAGTCAGGAAAATAGTCAAAAAACAATTAGGAAGGCAAAGAGGAATTATAATAATAATAATCCTTGCATTTGATATAGCGCTTTTCACGTCGGGAGGACATCCCAAAGCGCTTCACAGAACACACTGTAAAGTGAATTGACTGTATATTTGTGGGCGAACGCGGCAGCCAATTGCGCACAGCAATGTCCCACAATCAGTCGTAGATTGAAAATGACCAATTTATTATTGTTTTTTGTTTTGGAGGGATTATTATTAGGCTCTGTGTGGAGTAAGGAAACTTGCCCGAGGTTTCGCCCTCTGCCTGGAATTGAACTCAGGTCTCTCACTTGCAAAGCGAGTGCTCTAACCACTGAGCTACAGGACTCCACAGGACTCCACAGGACTCCATTATGAAATTAATTATCAAGGAATATAAAAATAAATAGTAAAATATTCTACAGACATATAAATAACAAAAGAAAAATTAATTAAGAATAGGGCCACTAAGGGATGGACAAGATAAACTCACAGAAATGGCAGAAACATTGAATAATGGCTTTGCCTCAGTATTCACCAGGGAGACCGATCAGGTGGACATGACAGCAGAACAGATCAAAAATAATATAAACACATTTAAGTTACAAAGGTGAGATATAATCAAAAAACTAACAAAACTCGGAAAGGATAAAACCCCTGGTCCAGATGGTTTGCATCCGAGAGAAGAGATAGCACAAGCACTCTTATACATATATAATAACTCATTAGAAAAGGAAGTAGTGCCAGAGGACTGGAGGATAGCTAATGTTATACCTATATTTAAAAAGGGAGATAGAACAAGCCTAGGGAACTACAGACCTGTCAGCTTAACATCAGAGGTAGGAAGATAATGGAATCCTTACTGAAGAAGGAAATAGAAAAACATCTAGAAAACATAATAAAGAATAGTCAGCACGGGTTTCAAACAGGAAGGTCATGCTTGACCAACCCCATTGAATTATTTGAAGGGGAAACAGAGAGAGTAGACAAGGGGAATGCGGTAGATGTAATATATTTAGATTTCCAAAAGGTGTTCGATAAGGTACCACATAATAGACTAATGAATAAGGTCAGAGCAGGTGGAGTCGGGGGGAAATAGCAGAATGGATAGCAAGCTGCTACAAAACAGCAAACAGAGAGTAGGGGTAAAGGGTAGTTACTCAGACTGGCGCGGGGGGGTGGGCAGTGGTGTTCCACAAGGATCAGTATTCGGACCCACTGTTGTTCACAATGTACATCAATGATTTGGACTCGGGAATCAGCAGTACAATTTCAATATTTGCGGACAACACCAAATTGGGGGGAGAAGTTAATACAGAGGAAGACGGCAACACATTACAGCAAGACATTAATAAACTTGCTGAGTGGGCATTTAAATGGCAAATGCATTTCAATGTAGAAAAGTGTGAGGTGGTACATTTTAGTAGAAGGAATAAGGAAGTCACATACAGCCTGGAAAATAAAAGTCTAAATGGGGCAGAGGAGCAAAGGGATTTAGGGGTACACATACACAATTCACTAAAAGTAGCAATGCAGGTTAATAAGGCCGTAAAAAATCAAACCAGGCATTGGGGTTCATTTCTAGAGGAATAGAAATGAAAAGCAGGGAAGTTATGGTAAACCTCTATAGAACCTTGGTTAGACCACACCTACATACTGTGTGCAGTTCTGCTCCCACATTATAGAAGGGATGTAGAGACTGGAGAGGGTGCAAAGGAGATTCACAAGGATGATCGCAGAACTGAGAGGTTAGACCTATCAGGAAAGGCTGAACATACCTGGACTCTTCTCTTGAAAAGAGGAGGGTAAGAGGTGACCTGATAATGATGAAAGGTTTTGATAGGGTCGACATAGGGAAGGTGTTTCCACTTGTGGGGGAAACCCAAACCAGGGGCCATCAATATAAAATAGTCACTAATAGATCAAATAGGGAAGTTAGAAGAAATGTCTTCACACAGAGAGTAGTGGGAATGTGGAACAATGCTCCACAAGGAGTTGTTGAGGCAAATAGCACAGATGTATTTAAGGGAAAGCTCGAGAGGTACATGAGGGAGAAAGGAACAGAAGATTAGGCTTAAAGGCTTAGTTGAGGAAGGGCAGGAGGGGCTCATGTGGAGCATAAACACCGGCACAGACCAGTTGGGTGAGTGGCCTGTTTCTGTGCTGTATATTCTAATGGGTTCTAATGTACATCCACCCGAAGTCCCATTCAGTTTCCCATTAAAACCCCTTAGATTTCTCCACACAACTTGTATTAATCACCTCCTAACTGGTAACATGGCTCCCTGCCCTCCATTACTCCACAATTACCGGCTGCATTGAATCAGAGGAAACATAATCTTGATCCATCACAGCACATGCCCTTAGTGATTGTATTGTATCACCAACTGTGCAGTGTAGATTGTTGATTAACTTGGACTTCACGTAAATCATATTAAATGTTATGGTCCTGACTGATATGACTTATGTGAGTTTTACCCTATTTGTTGGTGTAATGAAAATGCTATAAATCCTGTCTGTCTCTGTTCTCCTGTGTGTGACGTTGCCTCTTCTGTGTTGCTCTAGGGGTGGGATGCTATTGAGTGGATAATTCAAAACTCTGAGAGTGCTGTTATCTAACAGCTTCACCTCTACAAACTGTACTAACCAGTGGTAACTATTGAGCGGAGTAACTATAGCTTGTCTATCTAACCAAATTGGTGTTGCATGGAACTGGCTCCTGTCTGCGTTAAAAAGGGCTGCGTGTTAACTTTGTACAGTGCCGTAGAACAGGGTGGTCCAGCACGTGGCTCGCGGGCTGCCTCAGGCCCAGAAGGTCATTCCATCCGGACCGAGACCATTTCCAAGTGTGGGTCGCCCTCTCCCTCCCACACCCCCCGACCTCCTGCGACCTCCTGTCCCGGCTGTTCCCTTGGCTCAGCAAACACCGGACTTCTTCATGTCCCCCACCCCATCTGCCCCACCATTGCCATTTTGCCCCCGCTCTCCCCTCCTTCGAGGCATGTCAAGACCTAACTCTTCGACTTCGCTTTTGGTCCTCTCATCATCTCACCTTCCTCGGCTCAGCTCCCACGCACCAGCTCAGATGCTCAGCCGGCAATGTCAAGCACTTTAAAACGTCCTTCCAACATGAAAAATGTGCTGGTCAATGTTGTTATGTTTCTGGAAACACAAAATATTGCTAATGTGGTTCGTGGACCTTTCTCAAATAGGGAATCCGGCCCACGCCAGCCAACAGGTTGGACAACCCTGCTATAGAGTGACCTGTTTTGTCTCTGCTGTGGAATGAATGCTGCTGCATTCTGAGTTCTTTTCCCCTTTGCCTCCCATTTTCTTAAATATTGCCTCAGAAAATCACCCACGTTTTACTGGTTGGGAATTGAAAAGCTGATGCTGTTCAACAACAACAACTTGCATTCACATAGCACCCTTTGCGCAGGGCCCTAGTCTCAGAGCGCTTAACAGTGGTGGAGCCTGACCCGAGCCGGGAAGGGAATGGGGGGTTGACCATAGGCACGGTCAGAGAGGAAGGTCTTCAGACGTGACCTAAAGATTAGGAAGGAAGAGGGACTGAGGGAGAGAATAACAAAGCTTTGTGGCTTAATGTTTGAAAGCATGGCCGCCGATGGTGGACAGAGGACATGAGGGACAAGCAGGAGGCGGGAGCCAGTCGAGTGGAGCTTGGCGAGGGCTGGGGTGATGGGGTACGGGGTTTAGTGTCTGATAGGGAACCAGTAGGGCCTGGCGAGGGCTGGGGTGATGGGGTACAGGGGTTAGTGTGGGTGATAGGGAGCCAGTGGGGCTGGCGAGGGCTGGGGTGATGGGGTACAGGGGTTAGTGTGTGTGATAGGGAGCCAGTGGGGGCTGGCGAGGGCTGGGGTGATGGGTACAGGGTTTAGTGTGGGTGACAGAGTTCTGAATTTTGTGGATTGTGGAGCTGGGGACGGGTTTTGTAAGGTCTGCCGAGTGTCTGTCACCTACGGACTCCATCAATCTGTGTGATTAAGGATGTTCAAACCAGTATGTACGCCACCCGGACATGGCAAGTTACCCACTTGTGGAATGAGAAGTGCGCACTCTCTCCCTGTAAGGACCACCTGCTTTCCTGATACCAGAGTGCACTGGGTATAGGTTTGGGAACCCCAGTGTGTGGGTTGGAGTAACTACTAAAGTCCTGTGCACATTAGGTAGAGACCCCATCTCACCATTGTGAGGGCAGGATTCGATTCCTGGATGGGACGTCCCTGTTTACCTAATTCCGGAGAGTATTAGGCGCAGGTTGGCGAGAGCCGAGGTTTGGGGGGGCCCCAGAGTGTGTGTTGGGGTAACTGCTGGAGTGTAACCCACTAAACCCACACCGCTCGGCCATTGATATCACTGTCCGGCAGCTTTCCCACTGCTTGTCCAGCGAGGACCCCCCTCCCCGTTAGTTAGGGCTTTGGCTGTGGGGTTACCAGGGGCTGAGGGGGAGGATTCCCGGCCCCCAGTGACTGGTCGGCCCTTCCAGGTCCTGCTGATGAGCCGGGCCGGGCTGTGCTGCCATCAGCAGTGGGAGAGGGACACTGTGGCCCCTCCTGGTCAGGAACAGAGCATAAATTGTGGGGATTTTTAAAGTGATTTTGAAAGTGGTGATGGGATTAATGTCACACGTTCAGATCTCCCGCAAACAGGTGAGTGCCCTCTCCTGGCCGCCCCAGGAACTGTTTTGGCTGATTTCCTGTCGTGCATGGTGAAATTCTTTGTATTGTTATACAGTAAAACTCATGTAAGTCTTACCTTTATAACTCATATAATCACCAAAGTCGTACGTCCTCCTGAAGTCCCATTCAGTTTCCTATCAAAACCATTTAGATTTCTCCACACGACTCGTGTTAATGACCTCCTCACTGGTAACATGGCTCCTGCCCTCCATTACTCCACACTTACCGGTGCTTTGAATCGCGGGGAATGCCGTCCTGACCCATGGACGTTTGCACAGAAGAACCTCATTTCCCGCGATTCCATCACCTGCCGGTTAGTGACGTGGTGATGGACAGGAAGCTTTGAATCACAGGAAACGTAGTCTTGACCCATCACCACATGTGCACTTAGCGGCTGCAGTGAATTACACGAGCGCTGGGCACGTTATTGATTAAATCAGATTTGAAATGACTTCTACAGTTTGCCTGTAACTCGGACTTTGTGTAAGTTACATTAACTGTTATGGTCCCGACTGACGTGAGTTTCACTGTATCTTGATGTCATTTCTGTTTAACTTTATGGTTGTTCCTACCATTGTATTGTTTCCTCTGTTCCTCCTCAGACTTGTAGTGTAGGTCTGACAGTCCATAACCTTGTTTGTTTCATGTTGCTGTTTGCATGTTTTTTTTTCTTTTAATCAAACTTATGTGTTGTCGGCTTTGCCAGCAAACAGTTTCAAAGCCAGTTTTCAAAGCAGCTGCACGTCCAAAGCTTCAAACGCAATACATACAATATACATGCACTGTATATGTACCGAACATACACTGAACATGCAGTGCACACGCAGTACATACACGGTACATACAATATACATACAATGTAAATGCAATGCACATACAATGTACATACAATCTACATACACTACATACACTGTACCTGCAAAGCACATACAATGTACATGCAATGTACATCCCATGTGCTGCTGTTTTGCCTGGTTGGGATCTCACTGTTTTAACTCTTGCACATTGAATTTTCCGTTGCAGGTTTCCAAACACACAATTGGCCTCTGGTAAGTTGTCAAGTCAACTTTGACCCAATATTTTTTGAATTTTTTTTTAAAGAAATTGTTTAAAGAAAATACCCGTTTATGCCGAGTATTCTGAGTCGAGGTTGCCATGGTGTTTCGCCATTATTACGTTTAGCTGTTTGTGGAGTCCTGCAGCTCAGTGGTTAGAGTATTGGCCTTGTTAGCGAGAGGACCCGGGTTTGATTCCCGGGCAGCGTGAAACCTCAGGCAAGTTTCCTTACTCCCCACGCCTCTGTTTACCGGCAGTCAGTAGGAACCCGGTTATTACGTGATTGGTGGATTGCTTTCTGGGGGTAGTAATCCCTTCAAAAAGAAAATAATAGCGTCCTCACCACAACGCCACAGACTCCCAGCTCTCAAATGTTGCACTTGATTTGAATAATGAGATAATTTGATAATTTCAATTGCATTTCTGATGTGAAACATTCTGCTTCCCAGGTACCTTCCCCATCACTTGGCACTTGCCAAGGCACTGGAGTGGGTCAGAACGATAAACATGGAGATCTGACAAGCTGGAGACGTCACAACATCTGACAGTAACCAGACTGTGGTGTGGATTGCCTGTCCCTCTGCCACCCTTCACTGTCCAGCACTTGGGCTGAGAGTGGGAGGCATTTTTTGGTGGGTGGGGGGGGAACCTGATGTTTTGTGTTCTGCTTTTATTTATTGCATCATCAAATTTTTTTTAATAAGAATTTATGGTGACCAAAATATGTCTTGAATGTGTGAAAAACGCCAAAAATTCCAGTGTTTTGGAAATCAGTGTTAACCAGCAGCTAAACTAGACACCTGGGCAACTAGGCACCTGGGCACTTGGGCAACTAGGCACCTGGGCAACTAGGCACCTGGGCACCTGCACAACTAAGCACCTGGGCAACTAGGCACCTGGGCAACTAGGCACCTGGGCAACTAGGCACCTGGGTAACTGGGCACCTGGGCAACTAGGCACCTGGGCACCTGCACAACTAAGCACCTGGGCAACTAGGCACCTGGGCAACTAGGCACCTGGGCAACTAGGCACTTGGGCAACTAGGCACCTGGGCAACTAGGCACTTGGGCAACTAGGCACCTGCACAACTAGGCACCTGGGCAACTGGGCACCTGGGCAACTAGACATCTGCACAACTAAGCACCTGGGCACCTGGGTAACTGAGCGAGCATCTGGGCAACTGAGCACCTGGGCAACTAATCACCTGGGCAACTAAGCAACTGGGCACCTGGGCAATTAGGCTACTGGGCAACAAGGCAATGGGATTCTGTATGTAAGTTATAGTCATTGTGAAAGCTAGCATCCTTATTGGTAAAATGGAGTCACACATAATTCCTTTAAAAAAAGTTACGTTTTGGATTGATGTGTGTGGGGGTGGGGGGGTGGGCGGGGATTGGAAGGAATATAACTTGGGACGGGGCGTCCAGGCTTTTGGCTGCCGAGGGCTGGATGCCCTATTTGAGAAATGTTTGTGGGCTGCATAGCAATAAATCAGTGTTTTCCTTCCAGGAATATAACATTCACAGGTTATGGAGGGAGGGGGGGAGGGAGGGGCTGCCAGTTGGCGCTCCCTGACTGAGGCTATAAGCTGTGGGTGTGTGGGTGACTGTCTTGCCCTGGAGTGAGCTCCAGGCTGCACTGGTATTAATGACCTTCAGACTCTGACTATTGGACGTGTTTCAGAATCTTACAAAATCCGAGTTATTTGGATTTTTGGAACCTTGCATTTAATGCAGCGCCTCACAGCAACAAGCAGTGATATACTGCCCTTCATGTGGGGAGGGTCTCAGAGTGTTTAACAGTGCCGGGGCCTGACGCCAAACCGGGGGGAGGTGACTGTAACACAATAAGAAGGAAGGTCTTCAGATGTGATCTGAAAATGGGGAAGGAGGGGGCAAGGCGTAGGGGTTGAGGGAGAGACATTACGTTGTGGCATGACTTGAAAAGAGGACAATAATTTCCTCCTCCCCCCTCCCCACCAATAAAATTTGTCACTCACTCCATGGCTGTTTGTGGGACGCTGCTGTGCGCAAACTGGCTGCCATGTTTTGTCCACAATACACGGTCACTACACTTCACAATAAAATCCTGGACGATGTGATGAGGTGCTGTATCAAATGCAAGGATTATTATTATCATTTATTTTGCACCAGGTTATGAAAAGATTGAAAGTTTATTGTTTTGCTGTTTCTGTGATCGCGATCTTCAGTACTGACTGAAATGGAGTCTTATTTGCAAAAACATTTTCATGGATCAAAAATGTTTTATGGTATTTTAATAGAATTTAGAATAACCTACTGAACACTGCTGGCTATTCTAACTGAAATGTACTTTAAAATACAGAATATTTTCATTAAAATGACCTTGTGGTTTTATTTGACATTGCCGTAGTTCAGGGAATGGAAGATTTGGCTGGACATGGAGACTGTAAAAATGGTAACCACTTTGCTCAGCATTTTGGGCTCAGGAATCCCATAGCTCAGTGATTAGACCACTTGCCTCACAAGCAAGAGAACTGGATTTGATTCCCTGCGGGCGAAATGTTGGGCAAAGTTTCCTTACTCCACACGCCTCGAAACCAGCAGTAATTAGGAACCTGGTTGTTAGTCAATTGGCGGATCACTTTCTGGGGGTAACAATTCCTTGAAACAATAATACTTTGGTCACTCTATTCATGACTGTTTGTGGGACACTGCCGTGTATAATTAGCTGTTGCGTTTCACCCACAAAATATACAGTCATAGAATCATAGATTCATAGAATGTTACGGCACAGGAGGCCATTCGGCCCATCGAGTCTGTGCGGCTCTTTGACAGAGCGTCACTTTCACTGACCCCAATCACCAGCTTTCTCCCCATAACCCCACAAACCGTCTTCCCCGATACCTGTCCAGTTCTCTCTTAAAAGCTGTTATGGAATCGGACTTCACTGCCCTTTCGGGCGGATCATTCCAAATCCCAACAACTCACTGAGTGAAAACATTTCTTCTAACCTCCCCTCTGCTTCTTTTGGTGATATCTTCAGACTGTGACCGCGGGTCACAGACACACCTACCAGCGGAAACAGCTTTCCCTATCTCGCCTGTCGAAACCTTTACAGTATATCTTGTGAAGTGCTTTGAGATGGCTTGGAAGACATGATAAGGCGCTGTACCAATGTAAGGATTATTATTATCGCAGCACCAGAGGCAGCATATCAAAATGATTATTATTATTTTCAGACATCCCACATTTTAACACATTACAGATGATTAATGGTGGAATATCAATAAGGCACAAGGACTAGATGCACTAACGAGTTGTACTTTAGATCCTTCTCATTTTTAAAAAGGATGTAAAAGCTGGTGTGTCTGTCTAACTGATCAAGAAGGTCAAACAGACTCCGTCCAGCCCACCCCACCATCAGCGGTCAGGCCTTCAGCGTCTCTGCTCCTTTGCCTCCTTCAAGACCCTTCTCAAGACCCTCTTCAACTGCGCCTTCAGCTGCCCTCCTACGCTCACCTTCCCCCACCCCTCCCGCCCCTCCTGACCCCCAACTTCCTGCTCGGGTCTCATAGCACATTGGTTAGAACCCTCGCCTTACAAGCCAGAGGACGTGGGTTGGATTCCTGGGCAGAGCCAAACCTCAGGTAAGTTTCTTTACTCCACACACCTCTGTTTACCCCACACAGTGTAGTCCAACAGGCAGCCTGGCAGGTGATTTTATCCAACTCGAGACTCATCTCAATCCTCTTCGATCGCACCTTTGTTCATCCTCCTACCCCCGCCTCATCCTCCTACCCCCGCCTCATCCTCCTACTCCCGCCTCATCCTCCTACCCCCGCCTCATCCTCCTACCCTTGCCTCATCCTCCTTCCCTTGTCTCATCCTCCTACCCTTGCCTCATCCTCCTTCCCTTGCCTCATCCTCCTTCCCTTGCCTCATCCTCCTACCCTTGCCTCATCCTCCTTCCCTTGCCTCATCCTCCTTCCCTTGCCTCATCCTTCTTTCCCTTGCCTCATCCTCCTTCCCCTGCCTTATTACGCTGCTGAGATGTCTCAAAGCGTTTCACAGAAAATACAGTAAATTGAATTGACCATATACTTTATGGGCAAAATGCAGCAGCTGGAAGCCGAGGTGCAGTCGGGGAGAGGAGTCAGGACAGAGCGGAGGCGGAGGCTGAGGTAAGCTAGGAACTGTCAGAGCGCCGAAAAAAGAAAAAGTGCCATTGGTGTGACGTCATTTTCAACAGCAGAACCAGGGACAAACATCGATAAACAAGGAACTGTCAGAAACCACAACACTGACGGCAAATTAAAACAAACAAAAATAAAAAAATATATATTGAAAACACTGTGTGAGAAGATGATGGCAAGTGAAATGCGAGGACTGTGACATGTGGGAGTAATGGAGGGCCCTGAGCCCCGGCAACTTCATCTGCAGTGACTGTCTGCAACTCAGGAAGCTCCAGCTGAGAGGAGCGGAGCCGGAACCGAGGTGCAGACACTGCGCTCCATCAGGGACAGTGAGAGGTTCCTGGACAGTATGATGGAGGAAACCATCACTCCGCTGAGGTTCGGGAGATGCTTGCATCCGGTTAATGCTCAGGGACAGGATAGTTTTATCAGTCCTGCAGATAATGGGACCCTTGAGAGAGGGATGATGGAGCCTTCGGCTTCAAACTTGTACAGCGGATGTGAGGATTTGATGGACCAGACACTTCAGGAGGTGGTCACCCACAGCCATGGAGGGATCAGAGGGAAAATGACTTCGGTGATGACTGTCTGGCATGGTAGGAAGAGGGGACGGGCAGGGCAGAATGCCCCCAGTAATGTAGCACTCTCAAACCAGGACTCTGTACTGAACAGTGAGAGTGTTGGTATCTCCAGGGAGGACAGTAAAAACCGAGTGGTAGAACAGAGGGTCATAGGTAACAGGAGCAATGCTGTTGTCATAGGGGATACAACACTGAGAGGTATAGACAGGCGTTTCTGCAACAGAAGACAGGAGTCCAGGATGGTATGTTGCCTCTCTGGTGCAACGGTCTTAGACATCATGGAATGGGTGGATAAAATTCTTCAGGGGGAAGGGGAACATCCAGAAGTGGTGATCCAGGTTGGGATCCATGATATTGGTTAAAAAAAGGGCTGAGATTCTACAGAGTGAATATCAAAAGCTGGGGAACAAACTGAAGAATAGAACATCCAAGGTGGTGATCTCTGGATTGCTCCCTGTGCCTCGAGAAAATAAGTACCATAATGGCAGGATCAAGCATATGAATCCTTGGCTGGAGCAATGGTCCAGAAAAGAGGGCTTCAGGTTTCTGGGTCATTGGGACCAGTTCTGGGGCAGGTGGGACCTGTACCATATGGATGGGTTGCACCTAAACAGGGCTGGTGCGAATGTCCTTGCAGACAGGCTAACTAATGCTGTTGGGGAGGGTTTAAACTAGTTTTGAGGGGGAAGGGAATGCAAAAAAAAAGGGCAAGAAAATGGAGAACTAAAGGGGAGGTAGTGCAGAACAGGTCAAGTCGGTCTTGGAGTGCATGTGCCTAAATGCACGGAGTTTAGCAAACAAGATTGGTGAGCTGCAGCTCAAGTGGTCATAGGGGATACGATGTAGTAGCAGTAACAGAGACTTGGCTCAAACGAGGCCAGGAATGGAAGCTGAATATTCCTGACTGTAATGTATTCAGGAGGGATAGGGAAGGGAAAAAAAGAGGGGGTGTGGCAATTTTAATCAAGGATACGGTTATAGCCGTGGGAAGGGTCGCGGTCCTGGAGGGCCCCAAAATGGAATCTATCTCGTTAGTTAAGAAACAAAAAAGGAGCTGTTACGCTGGTCGGGGTATACTATAGACCACCAAATAGTGGGAAGGAAATAGATGATCAGATCTGCAAGCAGATCTCAAGACAGATGCAAGGCCAATAGAGTCGTGATAATGGGGAACTTTAATAATAATAATAATAATAATCCTTGCATTTGATATAGCGCTTTTCACGTCGGGAGGACGTCCCAAAGCGCTTCACAGAATATACTGCAAAGTGAATTGACTGTATATTTGTGGGCGAAACTCGGCAGCCAATTGCGCACAGCAATGTCCCACAAACAGTCATGGATTGAAAATGACCAATTTATTATTGTTTTTGGTTTTGGAGGGATTATTATTAGGCGTTTGGAGTAAGGAAACTTGCCCAAGGTTTGGCCCTCTGCCTGGAATTGAACTCAGGTCTCTCGCTTGCAAAGCGATGTGCTCTAAC